GTGAGCAATGTATTTTGGAGTCTAATCAGCCCCGAAATCATCAACTATTACGGGTACCAAAACCTCTATATTCGTTAGTTAATAACCGAGGATTGGTTGTACAATTTCGTTGTACTACTCACAGAGATACTAACCAGCCGTTAATCGAAGTTCGAATGCGGTATTTCGGTGGATGATAGTCCTGTATAAAGAACCGATTTTCATATCTATGATGTTTGTTTGGAATAAATCCTAGATGGAGATTTACACAGTTGTATACCTGGTATCTGTTAAAATTTTGTGATAGTTATTGACCTCATTTTTAAAAGCTTATCGAGGAACCAAATAACCTTTCATTTGTTTGTTAGGTGCCATAAAGTTAAACCCCTTGGCAGCTTAACTTATCTGAATGTTTATATTAACTTTGACAAACGGAAGGTTTGTCGATTATACTAAGTAATTGTGTGCTCTTCTAAAGTACAATACTTAATTTTGAAGTCCACTTTTTTCACTGTTGACGTGTAACACATGAAAACATACGACACAGAAAGACATAATGTATTTGTTAGGAAGACAGAGTTGGAGCATCTATCACTTGAGGCGATGTTAACAAAAAATTAACAGTACGGTTGTTTATTCTCTGAAATGTGATCACTTCAAGTGCTGCCCGTCAGGGATGTCGACTTTCTCCATTCTTGTTTCATTTTGTCTTAGGCCTGCTTTAACAGGTAACATAATATTCATCTGACTTTTCAGGAGTGGATCTTCTACCAGGAAACACGCATGTTGATTCAGAATATGCCGATGATATGGTTCTATTTGATGAGGAACGCCGATAAGATATAGTGTCTCCTAACTTCTATAATTGACAGTGCCAGAATGTTTAGTGGAACACTTCTACGAACAAAACGCGATTGGTGTAAAGAAAACGTTTATTGTTGTACTCTGTTTGTTTAACTGTACCAAAAATACTTACTTGCGTGCAACGTTCCTTTTTGCGTTAATGCCATCTTTCATAAATTGCTGTTCGATGTAACTCCTACTTTCTCTTCTAAATATATACTGGACCCTGGATTTATTTCTATAATTTATGACGGATTAGTAGGGAATATTAAGTGGTGATCATAGTCAATCTGGACTCGGTCACCACAAAAATTGGTGAGCTGACTTATTTATTCAGAGAAGTCAATTGCCGTGAGTCTATTATTAATCTATCACCATTTTTATAACGTTGCAATACTATTAAAAATGCCTTTTATTGTATATTATACTTGCAACAGCATTCCGAAATGGTTGATAGCTATAATAATAGACTGAGGTGCATGTCACTGCATTTTCACTTGTCTCCTCCCCGTAACTTCAGGTTGTTAGTTTATTTCACGTACTTGATTTTCGCACTAGCGCTAGGTACCTAGTAGCCACAAGTGCCCGAGTTTATGCCTTATCGTTTGGTGGCAGTAAGTCACAAGCCACGATGCTTCGACTACGCTCTGCGAATGGCTCTGTCATTCCTACCTACGGTACACGACAGCTAACGATCAGCCTGAATAATCGACGACAGTATCTATGGACGTTCATCCCTGCTGATGTTTCCATAGCCGTACTTGGTATCGATTCCTTACCGCACTATGAATTGCTATTGGACTCACGTAGGCTTCAGTTAATCGGTACTGAGCCCAATATCAAATCCATGTGTTTTAACGCGCAAATAGATATGTACCGAATCAGCAATATATATCTTGCAACGAAACCGCGAAGATTCAACTCGTGATTAATTATGTGGTAAGCGACATCGTCACGGCAAAACTGCGCTGACTGGCACTGGACAGTTCAGTTTTCGCTTAGCTTGAGTTTTACAGTTTACTCGCTACATGTATTACTTCGTCTTTCTCACAGTCCTTGAGCCTCCTCTCTCCATCCAATTCTCAGAAAGATGGCACTAGTTGGAGACGACACGGTGATCACAGAGCAGCAATCGCAGATATCCAATGCTTCGCCTCCGAACTTGTATATGGCCCGACATTCCATCCGCCTAGGGAATTTTTTCACACCACGGAGCAGCGATTTTATGTATATCAGGTAAAGTCCAACGATTATCTGCGTTGATGCTAATACTGCCTCCGGTGTGAACTCGAATATAACATCGACAGATCGCTCTTCCTCGAGAGGTATTTACCTGTCCACATGTTTTCTTACAAGTAGATTCGGTACTCAACAACCTTATGAAGTATCTTTTCACGTGAATTCTCGTCACGAAAAGACCTTCAAGGTAGATGGACACAACCAGCACAGGTCAATAACAGTTCCCTACCCGACAAGTCTAGACTCAATGCTGGACTCATCCAACTCACTAGCGGTATCCCGTTTTCCCTTAGGATCTCACACTAGATATGTCAGAGACCTCATTCTCACGTCCCAGTCAGCAGAATGTGTCGTCTGCACTAACTACGGATGAGACTCCAGTATCACGTCCGGATCATCAGACCACGACGCCCTAGACTTCGGATGAGATTGCAGGCTCACGAATCACGCACGAGACTATCGTCTTGCATTCCGGTCTTCGCGTGCGTCTACCTATACTCTTTCGCAACTAATCACCCAACCAACAATGATATGTTCGTCAATCGACTATGTGCATGGGTGGCTTCTCGATGGCTATCCCAACACAGTTCAAGTCGCCATGCGACTTGCACAGAGATGCAATTGTCAATTCAAATCCTATAATATTAGAGGTAGTAGGAGTATCAGCAGTAATCAGAAAGATTAGGGTTCTATGATATTATTCAAAAAGTAGAATCTAGTGGAACATAAAGGTGAGGAGGATTTCAGAAGGTTGGAATTTCATAGAACACAACGAGTGGATTCACCTGACCACTGGAAGCGGTTTTGAGCCATGTACTTCAGGGTCTCAAACCATCGATTACTGTCATCTCGCATGCCCCAACCAGGTAATCGACACCTACAAAACATCGCTCATTCCAGTTTTCAGTGACTTCGTGTATTTGTGCCGTGTTTTGATTTGGCCGCCCCTAGCCTTCTTCCAACCTACTCCTACACTGCAAACACATAGCTCGTCGAGGCAGTCGGTCCCAACCACCTCAACTGATGAAGTTTCATTACTTCATCTACTGATATGCCATCCTTACCTATTACCCCTTTCTTGACGACAACATTGCTTATTCGGTTGTCCAATGGTACACGAGCGATGCTTCGAAGACACTCATGATCGAAAACTAGTAACCTACGAATATCTTCTACTCTGAATGGCGATGTGTCACAGCCATAAAGTAAGACGGAGCTAACTACTGCGCGATACACAGCAAACGGATGTCTCGTCTACGCCATAGGTGACGCAGGTTGGCAAAAGCCAATCGAGCCTTCTGTATCCGTGCTGAGATTTCGTCACACATCAGACCTTCAGCACTGATGAGACCCCAGATAAATGAAGTGGTCAACAGGCTCAAATGCTTCATTCCCTATCACTCGTTCAGGTACCGATACAAGCCAACCCCGAAGCTGCATTTTGCATTTCGACGGGGAGAACCGCATCTCGATCATGTTTCGTGGTGATCGAGTAGAGACTGATTATGATCACCACTCAACATTTATTACTAACCGGTCATAAATTATAGAAATAAATCCAGGGTTCACTATATATTTAGAAGAGAAAGTAGGAGTTACATCGAACAGCAATTTATGAAAGATGGCATTAACGCAAAAAGGAACGTTGCACGCAAGTAAGTATTTTTGGTACAGTTAAACAAACAGAGTACAATAATAAACGTTTTCTTTTCACCAATCGCGTTTTCTTCGTCGGAGTGACGGCTTTCTTTGCCTCCTGTTCGGTCGGTTTTATGCTAGGCGAGTTTGGTTTACCTGGGATTTCTTAGGTCCAGTGACTTAACAATCGTCAATTTTTTCCAGTGATTCTGCACCATGTTGAAAGGTAACTAAACCACGGACATGAGTGATTCAGCAAAAACCCACAGTACTGTCTAAGTACTGTATTTTTACTGCGAAAATGGACCCATGTACTGCCGAATTTGAATTCAAATGCACGTTCACTTGTTTCGAGCAAGCTATGCATTTATCCTTATGTGATTTCTAAACGACAGCTTATGACGAAGTATTATGGCGTCTCATGATGAAAGATGAGTTCCATAGGAAGGCACGATGCTGATGCCCCTTTTCAAACCGGAGCAACAGTGTAAGAAGTGGTAGCGACCCTTTTACTAAACACGTTACCTAATAGATTTAACGACGGGAAATGAGTTCGTTGAAAGATGGAAATAATTGTATCAAAACTTAGCAAAAATAGAACCTGTATGTCATCATCGAAGGTGATGGAATCCCTATTAAATGGTTGCCTGTGCACTCATTAAAGGTTTACTAAAATCTTATCATCCAATTGTATGGTAACACGATTAGACATTACTTAAACAGACAGTTCTATTACTTCTGTATATCGCTCATTAACTGTGGCTTTAAATGCAATTATCCACTTGACGTATACTGTCAACTTGTAAGATTAGCCCTTCGGTGAGAGGAAAGCTATGACAGGCTGTAATAGAGGCATAATTAAGCTCTCTATTTTCTGCATGAACCCAAACTGGCATATGTCCTTTTGACGACACCAGTTTCAGACCCATAGATTTGCGTAAATTTCTACTTTAACTGAAATGAAACGACAAGTTACACGGAATATCAATCTCCTGATTTGCGTGCGATTATTTGCATTTCTATTAATTCGTTGCTTGGCGAGTGCAGATTCCCCAACGGAAGCACTCAAACTGCGGATTTCAGAAAATGTGAGCTAGCAGCAACGTCATTAAGCTTTGCACTAAAAAAGACACGAAAATTGGTTGCGGTTATTAGTATCAACTTCGCTAACTAGACCATGTATCAGTCCAAAAACTTGAGAACCCTGCTAGCACACACAAAGGCAACCGACCTTTTACACTCCAAATTCAAAATAGCCGCTGCCCGATCAAGCCGCTCAAGGCCGTGTGGGATAAACGCGGCCAGGTTTCAAGGTGTGGATGTAATGCTACCGAGTAGTTGGCCTTTACCGAACCGGCGCTGTGTATAGATGTTGCGTTGCATTTTTAGGACGATGATGATACATGCCTACTTATATTTTGACTTTCAGGCTGTAAGCAGAAGTTTTTTTTTCCAGTTTAAGTTCATCAAAACCATGATCAAATGGAAATTAGAGACTAAGTAGATCTAATCCCTAACTGTTATTTAAGGGTGGAAAGCATAAAAAACCTTAAACTGCTGTCTAATCGAGTTTATCGTATATTAGTTATGAAATGGCCTGTAAATCACGAACATCCAACTTATATACATTAATTTACCAGTCCTCTATTTCGAAATTACATGCGAGAATTTATTTCGCGCCTAAATCTTATTGGTTCATCCGTAAACATATTTCGTGCCATATTTTAAATTTTTTGTCCTTAGGCCTATCTTAACAGGTCATTCTGCTTGTTATAGGTGTTCTGTCCATGTTTGTGATGTCAAGTTATATATTTCGATTGCAGAAATCCTTATGCATCCACTTTCCTTAGGAACTAGCTGGAATAAGTATACAAATTATAATGCTCTGAAACGTGTCAAAGTACTGTATGTTAAGTGATTGATTTCAGAGATGCAGTTGTGTGAGAACAATTTAGCGAATGTGCATTGATATTAGTCAGTGAACCTTTTCTACCACCGTACTTATCAGCCTTCATTTGATTCGAGTATTTTGACGTGATAAAGTAATGTTTAGATTAATGTGTAACTCGGAAGTTCACTTGTATTAGGAAGTTTTGTTGAAGCGACAATGATTAATATCGATTGACTGAATAAGGGGACACTTGTTTGGAATTAGTTAGTACCTGTGTGTTTCTGAACTTGATATTAAGGTGCTTTAAATCAAGCGTAGTGAGTTTGTTAGTTCCCAGTTAGAAACTCATTCTAGGGCTTTAAAATTTAATTGAACTATAAGTGTTTATTTAGTCACAGTAATTATTCTTCGTACTTATTTTATCTAGCTTTCAATTAGTGGATATGCGACTGCAAACCATTTATTTAGTTCCTAAATTTTTTGGCGTATATAACTGAAGATTTGAGTACTGTATTTTGGTGTAAGTTGGGACTTCATATGGGGATGTAGCGTGATTCTGCGTTAGACGTTTGCTCTTTTTCTGATAATTTTGTGTTACATGTTACACATAAGTTTGTTAAAAGAAGTCGTTACCTAATATCTCTTTCTCAAATTTTAGGATTACCACGCACACAGTATACTGTAACTAGCTGATTGAGCAATTTAGAATGCCAATTTCGGATTCTACATTTAGCTCCAATTTTCAGCACAAACTTCTAACTGTTTATACAGATTCAGCTCCAAACTCACTATCAGAACTTAATTGTCCTAACATATTCAATCCAGTCAGTGACTTTGACCATGAAGACACAAGCAACTGTACCTCTGAAACCGTTGGTAATTCTTTCGTCACTTTTGAGGTCTCAGAGACTGAAACGTGTGCAAGCAACTTATCAGATGACTTTCAAGAAATTCCAGAATACTCATTGCATGCTGAGGTTTATATACCAGCAACTTTTCCAAGTGCATTGTCCAGTTATACTGTTCATGCCAACTCAGATAGTTATGAAAATATTATTTCCCAGAATTTGGTGTGGCAAGCTGAGGAATCTGTTCATGCACCTATTAATATTATGATGGAGCCTTCTCAGGACAATAATCTCATGTCTAATATTTACTTGAATTATGAGGTAGATAGTGTCACAGAAAGGCATTTTCATGTCACCCTTCCATCTCACTCAGAGATTCCCAGAGTTTCACAGCCGGTTTACAGTTTTCAGAACGAAAATGGTACTTTTAATGCACACAGTCGCTCTAAGCATATGCAAATATGTTTCGACAGTACAGCTCAAACGTTTGCATCACAGTTGAATGTAACTTCAGATTTAATCCGTGTAAGTGATTTCACCAGTGAGCCAAAAGACATTACATTGTCGCAGTCAAACTCTTCCACTGAAAGTTATTCCTGTAATTCACACTACTTTGAAGGTGTTTCCAATTTTTCCATGAACTCATCTCTTTGTATTCATGCCGTTAAACCATATGAGGCCAATAGAGAAAATTATGTGAATGATCGCACTGTATCCAAAGAGCCTTTAAGCTCTTATGAACTGATGGATCATACTTTCGAATATCCAGTCTATGATTTCGTTCCCACAGATGGTCATAGTTATACTTGCTATGATCCTCCTAAACCATCTTATTATAACTCTTTTTCGGAAGGATTTAGAAGCACAATGGTTTATTCAGATTTGGGCGCAAACAGCTTCGAAAGTGAACAGCATGATTGCTACGATGATACTATATTCGTCTCAAATTTTCCAGACCCGTTGGTCACACAAGATAGTACACACGTTTCTGCTTATTTAATTCCCGATCAAAACCAGGATCCTCTTTCAAAACAACCAAATACCTATCCAGATACCATTGTACAAGTTCCTCTTTGTACAGCTTATGAAATCAAGGATTCAAATAGTCTCCAGTACAATGACTCACTCCAACGTACACATCCACTTGAATTAACTTTGGTAAGTTTTTTCTGACCAACTGTTACATCGCATTTTTTAAAGTGACTGCTAATTACAGTAAGGCAAAATACTGCCTCATTTCGCTACTGGAGAGTTCTGGAACCACTGACTTATCTGTAGGAAGCTTTTATGTTGGGTCAACACTATTTAGCTGTTTTGCTCTTAATTTTCTGGAAGAAAAATTAGTTATTGACGGTATTGTTATTCGTTCTGGTATGTTGCATACCTCATTTTTCATATGCAGGTTCATCCACTGGCGTTTAAGTCTTACGTTGCAGAGTTAAGTAGTATCGCTAGACCCCATCCAAAGCAAAGGTGTGGCCGGTTTTAAACCTGTTACTGGTGCAGTTATATATAGGGGTTAATGAGGCAACTGCTCTTCTAGGTACATTAGCTCGGGGCTTATGTACGTGTAGTTTTGAAGCTACTCAATTTCTTCATGGATAATTGTAAAATAAAATAAAATTTTTGTTCGGTTTGAAGATATGTGCTCTATTTGTACTTTAACTAACTAAATGAGCTTCAAAGTGTAGCAGAAATATTTCTCTTGGTGTAAATTGGCATCTTATTTGTTTTGACACAAAGTCCTGGACTAAAACTGAAGTTTCGAATCCGATAAGTTTTTTACTATTTTCCGTAACAAGTATTTCAGCCGAACTGGTTTCAAATCGAAATGTCGACTTTCCGTGGTTATAAACAGTGTGTTGGGACAGAATAAGTAAATTAGGATCGGTATTAGTCACCTATTTATGATTATCAAAGAAGCTAATCTAAATCAGGTTTGTCTAATTTTCATTAAGCAAAACAGACTAATGATCACCAAGCAGAATCTCTTAATTTTCTTCAGCCTCAAAACCTACCACATTTCGTCTGCTTATTCACAGAGCTACTGAAAATCAAACGATTGCCTCCATTTCTTCAAAGTAAGTGGACATTTACGTAAAAGAGGAAACAGCCAATTCTAGTGAGTCATGTTTAATAATCTCAGTGTGACTCATGGAGCTTCACTGAGTTATTGCAGGTCCGTAACCTGAATAGAGAGTTGAGCATGTGATTTGAAATCCCATCCCATAAACCACAATCCTGAATAAAGATGCTGATAAGGAAGATACGAAATGATCGGACAATGTGGGAGATTGGGAGGCCTATCCAAACAGCTATGGGAATGAGAAGATAAAACGCGGCAATGTTTGGAATAAGTGAAACCCACATGCTAGACAGTAAAGATTAGCTTATGGAGAGATGCTATTGTGCTGTAGTCATGAGGGAGAAAATACGGAGTTTCACTGGTCCCAAAGAAGTACGGAAAGCACGTATAGGATGGGCACCTCATGGACCCAGAACCATCAAAACATTCTCCAAGACAAAGGAGGAAATGGCAGTGATCCTCACCTAGTGCTGCGTAGATACCAATGATAGTTGTGGAAACGATAAAGACCACTTTTATAAGAGGCTGCAGTGCGTCATAGAGAAATGTCCATGGAAGGACATGGGGTAACCAGGAAGATCTAAACACCAAGTCTGGAATGGACAACACCAGATATGAAGATATCACGGGACAAAATAGACTGAGAGGATGAGACGAAAATGGTGAGGGATTTGTAAATCTGTGTGCTCCGAACGAAATGGCCATGGGTGTTACCGTACTTCCACACGAACATACACAAATGAGTTTCGCTCGACTACACTACAGAGATCCAGATCTATCACATTCGCATCAATATATACTCCAGGAGGTTCATAGGAGACAAAGCGAAGCTGATGGCGACTGCTAAAACTGGAGCTAAAGCTGCGTTGAAAAACTGGCCAAACATTATTAAAAAGTTTAATACGAGCTTCTCTCAAGACGCTAGCGAAGTGCACAAATTCAAGATAGTTATGAGCAACAGGTTATAAGATTTGCACAGAGAAAAGGAAACCACAATGGAAAACAACTGGAATGGAAATAAAGAAGCGATAATTCCAACATGTCACGTGATCCTATTCAGCAAGAGATATCAGCATAAAGAGTACATCTCTGTCGATACCCTGGATAAGCTTCAAGAAGAAAATAGCAAAAAGATGACAGTAAAAAACATGACAAGTGGTAGATAAAACCAAATCACAAGCCGAATACACAAGCAAACAAACGAGTGAAGAGGAAGCGAAAATACATAGATAACGTCGACACGACAGCATCTACAGCTGAAAGAGGAAGAAGTATGGAAGAACCATGTGATGCAACCAAGAAGCTTTCATGGAAATATAGTAAAGTGGAGCAACTAGTCAAGAACGAACAGTGCAAACCAATCACTGAGATTCAAGAGCAACGTAACAGATGATATGACCATCAAACAAATCAGAAGTGGAAAAGCAGTAGGGCCAGACAGCATACCGGCTGAAGTCAGACATGAAGTTAATTTCAAAGGTGGTCTATATATTCTCCTTTTCAATACTCTGGAAGCAGGACAGCTACCGACAGACTGGACAGAGGGATACCTAATGAGCATATCAAAAAAGAGATTTTAGTACATGTGAGAACTACAAAAGCATCAGAATATTGCCGCAAGTACCAGGCAAAGTTTCGGAGGACTGTAGAGCGTTCTTCTATATGATGGAATACCTCAAAGGATCGTCATAATAAGTTGTGCATAGAGGGAAGCTCACATATGTATTCCATATGGAGACAATTGTCAGACAAAACTACGTACTCTTTCTTCTCTGCCAGTTGTTGACCGGATTACTTAGACCTCCACATCTCATAGGAAGTACAAATACAATGAACAGCTTGAATGCAGTTGGACAATTTGATCTTGTCGTTTTATCCCATACACAGCACCGAATTTAGGAAAGGACAGGCACTTGGGCAGCAGCCATTGTAGTAGTAAGTGACAACATTCATTCGCTTGATGGGGAAGTTTTGAAAAAAGTGGAAGCATCATTCACAGACAAAAATGTCTGACGCAAAAGTGAACGCATGAAGTAACTAACTAAGGACGGGATTTCTACAATTAAAGGACATATTTAAATCAGAACAACATTCGGCCTACATTAAAGTGACGATTTTTAATACTAATACGAAGGAAATTCTATTTTATAGCACCGAAAATTAGACTAACACATTAATCAAGAAGGTCCAGCTTTTACAAACAACTGTCCACACAAGGTACTGCGAATTCGTTGCCTGGACGCCGTCAGCAACAACCTACTGTGATGAACGAACCAGCTTCCAGCTAATGAAACCAAGAAACTATACTGACGGTGAGTAGGGCACATTAAAGAAATTGTTAGGCTGTATCACGAAACCTAAGACCACATGGTGTGGAAGATTGGAGGTAGATTCTGAAGAATGAATAAGTAGCAATTGGGAACAACCGGGGAGGAGATCTCAGGACAAAATCGTTTGGATATTCCTGGTTAGCAGCCTATCCTGTAGGTTGGATAACAGGTAGAAGAAGTGGGTGGGTAGATTAGCATCTCACGGGGCCTCAAAGACTACTCATACTAGTGTAAGACACTGGCTTTCATTTCGCGTCAGTCAGTCAGTTACAACGTGGAACTTCGTACTTACATGCATCATTCCAAGTTGCCGTGCATCATACATCATTGCCCTCATCTAAATAGTCGAGTTCGTAAAGTTATTCTTCAGGCAACAGATACATTACACATTACCTTAACATTGTTTAAGGATTTTCCCAGGATCTTATCGATGACAAGGTTAAAGAGAAGTGGTGGTATTAAGCAACCCTGCTCAACACGACTGTTGGATTATAGTTGTATGACCTCGCACTGTGATGTTTGAATGTAGATCCTTGAAATAGCTTGGTAATTTCTCAGATACATCCTTCTTGGAAAGACTATCTGACAGTATATTTCTGTCCATCGAATAGACAGTGGATCTGATATCAAGGAAAATCGATTGCTGATTAGCGATGTGTCAAGTGTTACTCCAACATTTGTGGGGGGGAGGTTCGATGAGTGCATCCTCAACCTGAATGAATACTAGCCTGGTCCATGTAAGTCTTTTTCGGGTTTCGAGCAATCTACAGAGCATTCTGTAAGTCAGTAGTTTGAATAAAATTAAAACTAAACGTACCTCGATAGTTTTTGCCTAAATTACGTCGTCTATGATGCCTGGGTGCACCCAAGGCTACCTAAACTCACTTCTCTTGGTCCATCATGCTGCATAAACCAACCTAATTTCTGTCTCTTTTTTAGTCAATTTTGTGATTAACAAACAATATTCAGTATTAAGCTCACTGGGATAACTTATTTAAGACTTATTCATGTTACCGTAGCGGATTTAAAAGGTGATAACTAGCTAAATAACAGTTTCTTTTATTCTGATACACGCGTTGCATAATATTCCGATCTAAGAGTATCACTTTTATTTAAGGATTAGTAATCATCAAAATGGTGCTAAAGATTACTAGCATAGCTGTTAGTGATTTTAGAAGGACTGTTCTTCTTTCGTATTTGACTATCTAAAATCTACTTGTATATTAGGTTTTCTATTTCATTGGACTCAACTGGAGAGCTGAACGAATAATTCTCATGATTTTATAAACTACAGATAGATTTCAGTCTTTTTGTATCACTTAAATGAAGATAAATTCACAATGAGCAAGTAGCAATCGAATCTTGATTTTCTCTTGGCTCCAATCAACAGATTATTTTTATTTATCTGTTTATTCTTTACTCATGTTATCATTCTCGAAAAAGCTTCGCATATGGTTCGAAATATTTCGGTTCCGTAATTTGTTTTTATTTTAAGGCAACATTTTTGACAGATACAGAACAGCAATCAACACATAATGTTTCTACTGAATACACACCGGCCGCAGTATACCCTTGCATTAGTACGGATCCAGAACCACTTCCTAACAGCACAGAGTATTCATCAGTGAAAAATGTTCCAACTAAGCGTATACCTGTTCCTGTCATATCTGAGAGTAGTAACACAGTCTCTAAATCATCGAAGTGGATTTGTACTCATTGCTCGCTGAGTTTTACACGTCCAAGTCACTTGGTAGACCATCTGCGTATCCACACCGGTGAAAGACCTTACAAGTGTATTTTGTGTGGACGTCAATTCACTCAAGCCTCTAACCTTCGTCGACATCTCTCAAGCCACAAGGCCTGGCCACCAATATCATCTGTAACTACTGCTGCACCCGATGGGTACAACAATCCTGAAATAGTTTCAAAAAACACTGAAGTAAGTGTATGTTTATAGAATGACCATGTAGATTGTTTTTGTGGTAAAGGTCCTCATAAATTTCTTGATTAACTGCATCATTTTGTGAGATGTTCTGTAAATATATTCCTGACCCTATCTTTTATCTACTTTGACGTAGTTGTGGGCCTTGCCAGTTGTGACAATTCGACCGAGTTATGTTGATTAAGGTACATGTTCCTTTAGGTTCGATCATGCCGGGCAGGTCATCTGGAAGACGGCAAGAGCAAAAGCGACAACCTAAGGTCCGAGGACAAAGTAATCCTGTTGACCAGAGGTGTATGACTGCAGTAAGGTGTTTCCCTCTGTCAGCATCTGCAGAGGTGATACCTTCTCGAGACGAAAGGAAGAGGTAAGGAAAGGTTGACCCTAAAAATGTCACACCTCACTTTGTCTCACAGATTTCCGTTTGGCGGTAAGGCTTTTTGGAGTGCGGAACCACCACATCAAAAACTCATGAAAAGGCATTAAGTGATTGGCCTCATGAAGTTGTCCCTTTGGTTCAACAGTCACTCCCAAGTAGTTAAGATCAACACTAATCCAGCATCTAACATCATATTCAGATCCCTCCTATGCCTATATGTTTATTTATTTAAGCACAAACACTGTTACAAAAGGGCACCAAAATATGTATGAGACGCATGATAAAAATGGGATTGTGAAGGGACGAAAGAAGAAAGGTGAGTATGATAGAAAAAGAACAGAACAAAACAACAATAACAATGTTAATACTAACAATTGGAGAGGCAGTTCGGTTGCGATAACTACAACCAGAAAGGACTTACTTCGATTGAAGAAGTTCCTCTCACTTTATGAATTAGATGAAAAAAAGTTACATTAGGACCTCCACGGGCCATGTCTGATAATTTTTCAAGCCACTGTGTTGCAGTGTCTCTAGGATCAACCGGGGAATCGTTATAGACTTGTATGTGCCTGTCCTATACTGGTTCCTTCCATACTGCCACCCCATATCATACACTGACGATCTTCACTTTTTTCAATCAGTCCCAGCATTGGAAAATAAAGCCAATACCCATATACAAAACTGTATTCGTATGGAGTTCGCAAAACTGCCTTATGAAGCTGAAAGTGAAATATGGTATTTAGCACTACTAAATGTGGATCAATTTGCTTTGGTGATTCTCTTCTCAATTTCGACTTCACCATATGTGGTACGATGCTGTCTCAGTCTGTCCGTTAGTTACAACGCAGAACTCTATACGTAGGTACATCAGTTCAGGTTGTCATACCACATTAGCATGTGTTTGAACACTTACTTACTCCTGTTACCCCCAATGGATCATAGGTCGCCGACCAGTATTCTCCAACCTAGTCTGTCCTGGGCTTCCCTTTCAGATTCGGTCCAATTTTCATTCATTCTTCTCAGGCCTGTCTCTATTTCTCAGTGTAATCCATTCCTTGGCCTTCCTCTTTTCCTCTGACCTTAAGCGTTGCAGGTGAGGGCTTGTCTTATGACGCAGTTTGGTGCTTTCATCAGTGCGTGTCCTATCCACTTGCACCGCTTCTTCCTGATCTCCTCCTCCTCTGAAATCTGGTTTAATCCTTCTCATAGTAGGTTGTTGCTGATGGTATCTGGCCAACGGACCTGAAGTCATCTGACTTCTGCATAGACAACTGTTCATGAACACTTGTATCTTTTGGATGGTGTCTTTTGTAGTTCTCCACGTTTCCGTCCCATACAGTAGAACTGTCTTGACATTTGTAATGAAAATTCTGACTTTGGTGTTTGTTGATAGTTTGGAGTTGCAGATATTGTTCAATTGTGAAAACGCAGCTCTTGTTTTGCCGATGCACGCCTTCACATCTACATCAGATCCACCTCACCCATCGATGATGCTGCTCAGATATGTAAGTGCTTTTAGGTCTGTCCTCCAAGGCGCATGTTGAGTTGTATCGGAGAATCTTGCTTTTCCCTTCATGTATGTTGAGACCTATTGCTGCTGAGACTGCTGCTACACTGGTCGTCTTCTCTTGCATTTGTTATTGCGTGTGAGATAAAAGAGTCAGATCATCTGCGAAATCCAGATTGTCCAGCTGCATCCCAACTGTTAGTTGTGTCCCGTACTTCCCATCCCCAGATGTCGACGTTTTCAAAATCCTGTCAACGACCAGGATAAAGAGGAAGAGTGGGAGTAAGCAACCTTGTCGTTCAAGATGATCAGAGACCTTGAACGACATAGCTCAAAATCGTTTGCAATGGCTAAGGTGCATCCACTCCTTGTGTTCTTTCAGATTCTAATCTTCTGAATTCCTCATCATCCACATCTTCCTCTTTCTAAAGGTATCTCACTGAATTATTCTTTTTGAATAATTTTTTCTAATCCTAATCTTCTCCATTATTGCTAATACTTCTACTATCTCTACCACTTTGGGATTTGAACTGACGGTTGCGTCTCTTTGCTGATGTGGTATTTCAATCCGAACTTATGTACTCATGTACGAAGTTCCACGTTGTAACTGACTGACTGACTGAAGCAACCTTGCCTGACACTGGTCTTTACCTCGAACGAGTCTGTGAGCTATCCTCCATGCACGATTTTGCAGCCTATTCTATCATAAGAATTCCGTATGATGTTGACTATCCTCTCAGGCACTCCGTACTGTCCATATGTCTCCATAGTGTTCTTCTGTCCACGCTATCAAATGCTTTCTCTTAGTCAATGAAGTTGATGTAGAGTGGTGAGTTCCATTCAATTTATTGTTCCACAATGATCTGTAATGTTGCATTTTGGTCGGTACACTAGCGATCTTTACGAAATCCAGCATTTTGATCTCTAAGTTGAGCATTCACGAAGTCTTTCATTCTGTCTAAAAATAACCTATTGAAGACTTTGCCTGGTATTGAGGGAAGAGCGATGGTGATGCAGTTCTCACACTTGCTGAGATCGCCTTTCTTTGGTATGTTTTGGTCTGGCCACCCCTAACTTTCTTCCAAACTACCTCTTCGCTACAAAACATAGCTCGTCGAGGCAGTCGGTGGTTGGGCATTCGTAACACACGTCCTACCCACCACAACTAATGAAGTTTCAATACTTCATCTATTGATCTGCCATCCTTACATAGTATCCTGACCGTAGCTGTTACCTAGATGTGGTGATCGGGCTTGCCGACCGTGATGACCCAACCGAGCTATATTGGCTGGAACGTATGTTCCTGTAGGTTCTTCCATTCCAGGCAGGTTGATTGGAGAACGATGAGAATAAAAGCAGCTACTCAAGTTCTGAGGGTGAAGTCGTACTGCTGACTGCAGAGGGGTGCGACAGCAGTAAGGTGTTTCCCTCGGACAACCAGCATCTGCAGCGATGCTGTCTTCTCACAAGGAAGGAAGGGTTAGAAAAGATCGACCCTAAAATTGTCAAACCTCACCCTACCTCACGGATTTCCGTCTCCGGCGGTAAGGGTCCCGACTAAGAGCTTTCAAGAGCGGAGATGATACTCAAAACACCTTTCATAAAAAGGCCGTGCGTGACCGGCCTCAAGCAGTTGTTCCCTGGGCTCTGCGGTCACGCTCCCAGGTTTTCAAGACCAAAAATAATCTACCTTCCTTTTCAGGTCCCTCAAGAAACGACCTTCCACGGTGTGGGCAACCAGGAAGTGATAACCGCCCTCATACCCGTAGCAGCACACGAGACCAAACTGGTCATAATCAAATCCTTCCTACACCCCCTAACATCTCTTTTATCTCCACGACTAACTCTTCTCATATTCCTCACACTGCACAGCTAATGCAAACGATGCGAGTTCACGAAACGTCATTCCTGGTCTCCGGAAACCTCGTTCTAGACTACATGTTGGAGCATTTGATTTACGGACATTGTGTCAAATAGGGCAACAGGCTTCCTTAGCTCCGATTTTAGAATCTCGCGCCATTGATGTATGCTGCGTCTTGGAAACGCGCATACAGGATCAACACCTCTACCTTCTAAATTTATCTCACTGAATTATACTTCTTGAATAATATCTTGGAACCCTGACTGACTGACTGACTGCTGTTTCCACAGCCTTTTTGAAATCATTCCTGTCTCAGGGTCTGTGTCACTTACGTGGTTACCTGACGTTTTCTAGTTGCACCTGAAATACATTCCGGAATTTATGATCGTTAAGTAGGACTCTAAGGGGTTTCTTTGATTTCTCTTTCATAAGTCCAGTAAGAAGCAGACAAATACGTGTTCCTACTGGAGCATGATCTGAGTCTAAACACGTGCTCTAGGACGAGCGGCAGATTTATATCGAGCCTCTCTATCGGTGGCTGATAGCAATGTGGTCCGGTTACGTCCATCGTTGGGTCAGCTTTTGGGGTCGCCAGGTCAAGAGATGTCTTTTCTTATGCTTAAAATTAGTGTTTGCTAGAGATAGGTGATTATCTTAGTATACCTGCAGCAGACAGTCGTCATTATCTGGTCTTTTCGTCATGACAGCATAATATCCACCTAGGTGCCATTTCTTTTTAGCTTAGTCACCAGCCATTGTTACCATATTAGAGCGCCTAACGTTTTGAAGAAGATTAGAGAGCCTTCATTTTTCCGTCCGAACTGTAGTCTGCTGGAGCGTAGGCAGAGAAAAAAAGGAAAAATGGCGAATTTCCCTATCTTTCGGTTCCTTATTGTCCCGTTTAGTCGAACAGCGCATAAGCGACTGTCTACCGGGATCCAGTTTAAGAGAGTTACTTCTGCCCTAGGACCTAATACTATACCTATACCAGCGAGGCCTCAGGAAGCAGCTGCAGGGCTTCCAGATGCATGAATCGTAAACCTAGCTGATTCTCTATCTGGAGAAGATAGAATTACCAGGATCCTGTATGAGCGTTTCGAAGACGCCACACACATCGTTGTTACGGGATTCCAGAGTCCTAGGTAATGAAGCCTGTTGCCCTATTTAACACAATGTCCGGACATTGAAAGCTCCAATATTTAGTTCAGAACGGGATTTCAGGAGACCAGGAATAATCTTTCGTGAGCTCAAACCGTTTGCTTCTGCGGCGTGATAAACGATCAAAGAGTTCGTCGAGGAGATAAGACAGTTATTAGGGGGTGTAGAAAGGATTTGATTATGACCTATTTGGCCTCGTGTGCTTTTATGGGTATGAGGGCGGATGTTACTTCCCGGCTGCCCAAACCGTGGAAGAGTTCTGGTTATCAGAAAAACCACCGGCCCCGTGACTTTCGAAGGAACTCGCCTTTCATCTTTAGACTTCGTAACTCTTCCAAATGAAGACCTTCTAACTACCAGAGCAGGGTTTATATGGTTTGAATTATTTTTTCTTAGCGTTTTTTTAGCGAGTTAGTATTTTTTGCAGGATGGGTCCTTGAACCCCAATCTCAACCCTCTTCCTTTATCCGGGCTTAGTATCGGCAGTAACCCTAGAGGGACTCCAGATGGAGGTGTGTTTGAACATTACTAGGTTATTATTCTTTTTTCTGTGTAGTTATGACAATAAAGATAAACCCCAATTGGCATCTGTTTATCAGTGACTTGTTTCGTATTTTTGGGAATAATTTTGCATTGAACTGCAAAACCCAGATGCTGGGATATGATTCTTTATTGTTGTTCCATGCGCTCGTAAGTTGTAGATGATTATAAAAGCTCTGTAAAGAACTGGAATTGTTCTTCGCTATAATATTCATTCGCAAACATGACGTTCCAGTCCTCTGCTTAAAAAAATATCGATCCCTAAGCATTGTGATATTTCCGACACCTACCACTCCATAGAACTCATGATGTATCTATGCCACTTCTTGTATGTTCGCCTTACACTATTTACTAAAGACAAATCTTGCTCACAAGAATGATGGCCATCAATATGTATGCCTAACCATCTCCTACGGGCGCTTGCGATGTTCACTGATGTACTATTAGGTTGGAAGAAAGTTTGGGATGGCATTGTGTGACGACTGCAGAAAGTTTTATGTATTACAGACGGTAAATTTATTAGTATGATTTGTCAGTTTTAGTGTGAAATATTCTTCATTACTAGTGCATTTTGGTTTTCTACTTACTTTAGGTGGTAACTATCCCTATTTCTTGTCGCCCTATGTCTCGTAAAGTTTGGATCTGTCGATTTTGTGATCAACGATTTGAAACGTATACGCAACTTCGTGCCCATTTGATACATCATAAAGACAAGCAGGTAATTTTAGTTTATATGAGCACATATGCATAGATATCGTGTGTCTAAAAAATAAACATAGATATTCTTGTCGAGATTATAGGTTTAAGGTCAATTGTCGCTACTGATTTTTCGAATTTATGTCTATTCTAGCTTGAAAAATGCACTTTTAGTACCCGTTTCTTCCCTTGCTCTTGTTTTTGTTAGTAATATTACTATACTAGCACATACATTTGTGCATAATATGTTATCCTAAATTTGAGTGTACTGGTTTACTCAAACACCGCATGGCTTATGTCCTAGATTCAACCTTGGTCTAATTATCTAAGAAGTTTATTGTCAACTTGGATCAGGACTCTATACCATTATCGTCCTATCTTACACATCGAATACTTGAATCTTTTATTCATAGATAGGTTGTGGAGATTTTTATTTAATTCATTATATGATAAGACCATAATAAAAATTTATCCACTCAAGATTGGTTTTGATTTTTCATAATTGACGTATTCAACCACTGAAGAATTTCCAAACGATTTTTATTTTTCAGGTTTATGCATGTGTATTTTGTGATTGTAACTCTTCCTTTTCATCACCAAACAGTTTATTAAATCATTTGTTGGAAAAACACCAAGATAACAAGAATGAAGAACTTGCATGTCAAACTTGCAACAAAAAATTTCATGGTAATTTCAATTTTTGTCCTAAAATAAATTTTGTTGTGGTCGTTTTTATTCTTGATTCTTTTTTCGAATATATGCCATTTTTGTAACTAGTGGCTCATACTCTGGAATACCTATGCTTCTCTTGTTAGGGTTAAAAAATTATATTAGTCACTGGTACTTTTGTGTTGAAATGGTAGTACTCGACCCATTAACTGGATCTTACACTTTTATGAGGCGACTGTGTTAGAGGTTAGGTAATGCGTAGAGTTACAGAGTACCTCTTCCTGAGGATATCGTAAAAGGTTTTTGGTGGTATGTACCATTCTTGAGAAAGTCGTTTGTTGAAATGTGTGTTATATTAGTGGGGAGGAAACCTAGTGATTAAAGCACTCAGTTTCCCTTGAAGGATCACTGATTCAAACCCTGGTTTACTTGTCTCGGTTGGAGTGTCTCAGTAGCATCACTAGATCTCGTAAACATTTTGGATAAAAGCCGAGTAATATAAATCTGTACTTGATAAGTGATTAACGTTATGGTATTATATTCTGTACTTCTCCGAAGCACTTGATACTGTTTAGTTTCAAATAACATTTTGATAATCTCTTGTGAATACGTTTTTCGGTGTCGTGATCCAAATTTAACACTTATGACTATTTAAATTGGAAATTTTCTTGGAATTATATTACCAATTAGTCACGATATACTTATCCGTTCAGTAGTCTGATAGTTAGCAGTGTTATTCCTGGGAGTAAAGAACGTTTTGCCGTTGTGATTCAAGATTACCTTAATGTACAGAGTTTCTAAGTTAACAAAATTTCATACTATAACACGAATTCCAACAAAGATTTTGTACTCCGTATAAGTATCATAGTTTAGCACCGTTGGGAAATAGATGTAAAATGTTTTGTATTATTTAATCACTTTGCAATCTATATTACGGAATTGTTTTTATTAGTGTAAAAGGATGTCATTTACTATGAGTGGGTTACTAAATAGATTCAGAAGATATGAGCTTCTAAACAATCAGAAATGTTATAAAATCATGTTCATAATCTGCTTGTCAGGTACCTCTTTTATCAAAAAAATTCTTTGCGTGTTCTCTGATAAAAACTTCGAAAAGCATCATTTATTAATGAGATAACTTTCATTTTAAAGTAACAAAAATAATTCTTGTTATTTTTAAAACAAAGATTTCTGGCATCTTGTTGAACACTTGTTACCTCGACGTAACGGATCAAGCTCCGGTTGTCCTATACTGCATATTAAATCAAGAAGAAAGGAAAGTAAATTGCTGAAAAGGAATCGTAAAGTTATTTCACATCGTAGGTCTGCTGGTGTTCAGAATGGAGAACAAAGTTCGAATTTGTCAGCCGAATGCTCTAGAACTGATAATTATTTTAATTCTACATTCCATCTACTTCCTATACAAAGATTCAAAAAAGATAATTCATTATTTGGATTCAAGTGAGATATTAATTCACATTTATTTTACGACTGATTTTGTAACTCCATTTTTTGTCCGTGACTTAGAAATAGGAATTTAGCTATATCCACTAGAACCTCATGTGCGAATGTTCCATAACCATAAAGCTTTACTGATATGACCCTGTAAATTGTTTTGGATTGTTTTTCATGATATATCCTGTAGTTGGAGCTAGTTGGTATTATAGACACACTTTCAACCAGTAAGTCACTGCACGAATGGCAAAATCGATCTCATACCGATTGAACTTAAAATAATCCTTTTAATGCTAATTAAGAATACTGGTAGGATAATTAAAATAATACCGATGAGGATTATGTCGCAAGTGTAGAAACTAAGTTATGTCTAACTCCCCTAAAATTATGGATTTATTAAACGGTTGTTTTAAAATCAGTGATTACTGGTCTTAATGTGCTACAACAAGTTTTCGAAAGTGGTCCAGAGCATTAGGTAAGGAGCCCTAGATCTAGCTGTCTGGCGTACACACATCATGTTAATTGATGTTCTTTAGTTATTTAGAATTATGTCTTCTATCTGTATCAAAAACATCACTGAGCTTTTGGGAATGCAGTTTTGAATCTCAGTATGAAGATCACATTAGACGCTTAAAATCGTATCATCACTAAGAACTAGGTTTGATGACAACAATTACCACTCAGTAACCGAATAGCGTTTCTTCTCATTGGCATGTAAACTTATCATTTTCTGGCAGAGAGTGTTGGCTGACAACCTGGAATTTTCAAGATACACTATAATTTTTACTTACAGCCTGACAGTTTCGAGAGTTTTTGTGCATTTCCATTTCTTCGGACCTTCACTAGTAGAACTCAAACTTAAGTGTATCTCTTAATGTTGAATTTACTTTTTAGTGTCATTAAAGCGTAACATAACATTAATGTTGAAGTATTTCATGTGTTTCTTAATAACTATGATATCTTTATTTTTCCCGATTATTCCAGGTGCCCATTTTGTGAGGAAATCTGCAAAAGTCTTAAACATATTCATGCCCATTTGTCTGGAAGTCATTCAAAGCTAATGAATCCTTCAGTATTGAGATCTACCTTGTCAGACAAAACTATGAGTGATGACACTAATGATATTAGTTCTTTGTCGCATAACACAGATTCATCTTCCAGTGGTGATGACCCATCTAAAACAGCCTTATTTCTTCTTCAGCTAGAAAAGCGTATATTATCTAATGGACATCAGCTAGGATCTAACAAAATTGCTTCGCCTAAAATATTTGTATGTAAATTTTGCGGCAAAAACTTTCAAAAACAGAAGTTTTTTGATGATCACGAGTTGATGTGTCAACAGGTTAGCAGACATTTTAGAGTTTGTATTTAACTATTTTATACTTCAGCTATTGAAACCGTACTATTGCACAACATAGTATGGATTCAATGATCAAGTCACCATTCAGAGTTAAAGAATGTTCATCAAGATTTGATGATCAGTTAATACAGATAATATCGGTCATTATCAGTGTTGGTTTGAATTTCTCCACTCCACATCAACATAGATGGCGGAAATTAAAAAGGATAAAAGTGAATGCGTAAATATAATCACATCTTTTATGGTAGATACTGAATGTAATTAAGAAATGTAATATAATATTATGTATATTCTGAAAATACAGCTAGAACTCTTGCCCGTTTATAAGTATGATCTGGTTAATGCAATATTTAAAGTTAAGCATCCATCACTCAAAAAGACGTGATTCTTGAATTGTTTTAATTGAATATTTGTCACAAAGATTTTAATGATATGAAATATCATGCATATAAAACGAGATATCATAGATAATAACATAATTGATACAGTAATCATACGTCTTGATGGTCACCATCTTTGTGAGCAAGATTTGTCTTTAGTAAATAGTGTAAGGCGAACATACAAGAAGTGGCATAGATACATCATGAGTTCTATGGAGTGGTAGGTGTCGGAAATAACACAGTGGTTAGGGATCGATATTTTCTTAAGCAGAGGACTGGAACGTCATGTTTGCGAATGAATATTATAGCGAAGAACAATTCCAGTTCTTTACAGAGTACTCATTGTAAAGTCAATTCCCCTGTAGTTCTTTTCTCAAAATTTTAAAACAGTCACATAAAAACGTATTAACAGAAAAATCTTCCACATTAGTCGACGTTTCTGGAGCTCTGTATATGCAGCGAAGATGTAGACTATGACCCAAAATGTCAAGTGATATTCGTATCGATTTTAGTATACCACTGTGAGCATTATATTTATCTTTATTAGTTGATGGATAACAATCCAGTACGTATGTTAGATTTTCACTTCTATGTTTATTCTCTCTGTTGCAGCTATATTATAGATAGTTTTTATTCCTTAGTTATAACTGAAGCGCTGGAAAAGATGTTATATTGCTGTGGCAAGGATAAAAGATGGTCTGGCTACCAAGGATGTCGTCCTTTAGGCCAAGGTTTTATCTATGAGCAAACCTGTGTTAATAAGTAATCGGTCCAGAAAAGAAGAATGAGTTTTACAATAACGTTTAAATCTCTTATTAATTTTAGTCATCTTAGTAGTTTAGTTCAGAAGTGTGATTGTTTGGGCATTCTTTTGAACAATCTAGAGTGTAAGAGAGTCCTAGGATTATTGTAGTCCAAAAGAAATTATTATGTGAATTAGCAATATTTGTGTTCAAATATTTTCAGTCTATGGTTACGGGTGATGGAGGCTTTTTAGGGCTGTAAATAACATAGCTCTTATCCTAAAAGCCATTTATTCACATAATTAGCAAACTGAGGTGGAGTTTTATCAACTTTTTCTGATCTTTCGTAACATGAGGGTAGACTGAAACTACGTGGAACAAACTGCTGATTCTAACTTTGCTAACCTTAAGATTATGTAGGGCCCGATTAGCGAAAACCACGTGTAGATTATTCAGTTGGCTTAATGTGTGAAATTCTGGCAGATTGCTTACTGTCTGTAAGTTTTGAGGGCCTGAGTTATTGATGGGTCGATCACCCTTTGTTGATAGAGCCTTACTTTGAGTGGCGAGATAAAGTTTTGCGATTGTTATTTTTTGGTTGTTGTAGCCTTAAAAAACCTTCAAGGATTTGTTTTGAATCCAAACAGTTTTCTTAGATAGCCTTTTGTATTTTATAATCCTTAAGAGGACTATAATCAACTATATTTGAAAGAAGTTACGTTTGTACTTGCACCTTTGTTTTTCTACTGGAAGACAATAACGGGAGCCGCAGGATATCTACGTTCGATACGTCAAACGTTTGGCCTAAATTTATTTTTTAGCTTGTGATGCACTACCTCTTGTCTTTAATAACTAAGAACTGTGACTAACAAGGGATAAAGTCGTAGTACAACTGAGGGTACTGATGATGGGCTTATATAGATGGTAGACGTTTGTGTAACACAACGCTTGTCTAAATTGAAAACATTTGATAATACAAAGCTCAAGAAAGGTGGACAAATTCATTTACGTCACTATACTCTGTTCGATTGCACTAATAGCTAAATGAGTTATTTTTAGTCCATTTTTCTGGCTGACAACGCTCTCCATCATATCCCGGACATGGCCGTATGGATCATATACCCTGTTAAGGTTATCTCATGGCAGTTGAGAAATCCAGATGTGGACATGCTGTTGAAAAGAATTATTCTTCTAAAAGAGGTTTATGTTCACGTATACCTGGCTGGGTATATATACGTACGCACGAGTTAGTTTTTTGCTTTGTTATTCGACTATGAGAATAAAGCTTCCCACACCGTCACTTTGTAAAACTGGGCTAGTGAACTATTTGGAGATGCAGACTGATAACTGATTTAAAATGCAAAATACGGCAGTTACGCGACATTATTACGGGTTTTATTTATTGTTTACTAACTGAAGCAAATCCAGAATAAACAATGGAATTATGTCTGGTTTGTTAAGATTCATTGCAGAATCACTGTTACAACCTTGGAGAAATTGATTACTTTGCTTAAAATTTTTGAAATAACAATTACCGTTCGGTTATGAGTGCTAGGAAACGAGGTACCTAGTTCTGAGGATTCCTTTTGACTGTTTTCAGACACGACACCAAACTTTACGATTTTTAATTTTACTCATCTAATGTAGATTGTTCATAGACTTATTTTTTAATTTGTCTCCACCTTTGCTGGTTCATTTGCATTCCTCTCTAGTCAATTCAAGAACGAGCACGTCGAATCCGTCTTAGAGCCAGTAAACGAGAGAAGTTTGCTGTTTTACAGGAGACCAATACTGAATCGAATATGAATTTTTGTATTGATATTACTCCTCCAAATCAAGATTTCGTCCTTTGTAATTCAGGTGATTCAGTTTCATCGCTTAGAAGGTCTACACGTAATAGAACATTTCATACATTTTGGAAACCTAAACTAACTCGTCGAAAGCGTAATTTTATTGAATCCATCTGCTGAATAACTATAAACAAGCTCACCTTTAAAGTAAATTTTCAGGTATTACATTATGAAATATATTTATGCTCTTTATCTATCCTCATATAGGCAACAGTTATTGATTTATTTCGCTAAGATATGAATATTTAGTAATTTGATGCTTAACATAATTATTTTGTGTACATAATTTTTATTTCGTTGAATCTAGTTTGTATTATAAATTCATCTATTTCACTTGGCTTGTTTTAGTTACTGATAGATTTTCTTTGAAAAATATCCCATGAGCAATAGTCAAACTAAAATTTTCACCTCATTTTTATAAGCCTTTGTTTTTTGTCAGCGATTTATAGTTTTTTTTTTATTCATGATATATTACATGGTTAGTGACTGAACTATCCATTTTTCAATCGTTAAGTCCCAATCTCGAACCTCAACCTCGGTTTGACTACCGAATAATGGCGTTAGCTTCCTCATAAAGTATGATTTAAATCCGAATACATAAACCTATTCTTGGTAGATGAATTATACTTAATTATAAATGTACGGAAAGAATGATAACTGATGATGTCGCCTGGGTTTAGTGAAATAGTGTATACTCATTCAATTTTAGGAAATATATGAGAAATAGCTAACCAGTGTTGAAGATCATGTTTGATGGGATTACGTTTATGGCTGCTTCTTTTAGAATGTATACTCAGGAAAAAATGGTGTTTAATACAGTAGTTCAATAGATATCTTATACTCTAATGGACAGTATCTTTTCATTTTCTGTTCCGGTGAAATACTCGTAAAATATTTTATCGTATTATGTAATGTAATAAAAAATAATCTTAAAAGATTCGAATTGTCTTGTTATACGGTTTTCGTGGTAGATTTCAATTGATTAGGTAAACTGATGATCATTGGTTTAAGTAAAATTAGAATCCAGGTTTGTTAAAATAGCTGACGGCTTATAAAACAATAAGGATGATGTAATTACGTAAAGTCAATTCCAGTCTCCTCAGAAGATAGACGACACATTAGAAAGTGCCATACAAACGGTATACTAATCATAATTACAGCACTGATCGTCGATTGTGTTGTTGATTTGAATTTGGATTTACTTTTATTGATATTGCTGAATCCTGTGTACCTGGATCAATGTTCTTTATCTCTTAATTTCTTTAAGTGATGCATTCAATTCACCTTCCTGCCTGATGACCCCTAATGATTTTACATGATTTTAATATATACAGGAAGCAGAGACTTAATTCCATTGCAGCGTAAATTTTCCACTGCATATCAATTACATTCTCTTCAAATAATAATTCTCACTTTTTTAAGGTTTTCTAATGAATTTCCAAATTGTGTTACTTCTAACGAATGAATTTTAAATATAATATTTGTGTTCAATTTACTTTTCTTTTTGATTGATTTATGTTTTTTTTTCAAGTTGATTGTGTGATGTATGATCTTTGTTTGCGAATGCTTTTTGTTATCATTATTGTTGTGTTAAACAGACTAAAACAAGCCTACTAATCTATGAATAATCGTGTTATTTCTTGTTGAAGTTTTGTCATTGTACAAATCAGTGACTTATTATTGATACTAGTATCGTAGAAATATTTCTTGTTTCTTTGGTCTCATTATTGAAAGCCTATTGATTCTAATTATGAACAAGTTCTTTTTTCTTGTCTTCCATCTGTTTTGTTTCGAATTTTCACAACTTAAACCTACTTAATTCTGTGTTGTTTTAATCAATAATATAATTTTTTGAAATAATCTATACTCCTGACTACATTGTATTATTTTTTACAGTAACACCTTATAAATAATCCTTCAGAAATTATAACTTTAATGTATTGAAAACGCTTGCATATTTTCTATCAAATAGTTAATAATTTAAATGTAAATTTGGAAATTGGTATATTACATCAAGATAGTATGAACTGTACTTTGACCTTTCATGATAGTAAACGTATTTTCCTCTTACAACAACACCGTTTTCTTTAATTGAAGGTTTCCTATTTCACTTCGCAGATGCCGCGTTTGAGTTTCCAGGCGAGTTCAGCACTTCAATTTGATATTTTATTTGAATGTCCTCAAACTCGTGCACGACGCTGTAACCTATGGTTACCGCATTGTCCTGCTGGACCAGTAGAAACCCCAGTCTTCATGCCTGTCGGTACACAAGGTGCTATGAAGGGTGTCACAGTAGATCAATTAGAACAGTTGGATTGTCGAATTTTACTTGGAAATACTTATCATTTAGGGCATCGACCAGGACCGAAAGTTCTTAGAGAAGTATGATTTGTAAATTTTTGGACTTCATTTTTAATTATTTGACTTTCGTTTTGAACTTGTTGCTATTAATACTCGATGTAATCAAGCAAAGAGGTTTTAGGACCATTGTCTGATAGTACAAGTTGGCACATTCCATATCAACAGATAGCGATATAAAGATTAACGAAATAAAGTGTCGATGGAAAAAATAATTATATCTGCTTAAGTGGAGATTCAAAAATTTAAGTTTTTTTTTAAAAACAAGCATGAAGTTGAAGAATGTATGTATATAGTAACAACTTTAATCGAAATTCAAAGAAGGATAGAGCATAACTGCAGCTGCTTCGTTTCAAACAGTTTTGGTTTACACCACACATCCTTAACCATCGTTTCTGATCATCAATCAGAAAGCCTAAGTTTCCTTATATGGTCCAGATCGGCAGTTATTGATTTTACAGATATTACCTCTCTTCATACCGGTGGCTTCTGTATTTTTCAGCATCATTGGTCTCGCTAAGTGGTGATCTAAGCTTATCGTTAAGTTCAAAAGCAGGATAAACACTACCCACCTGAATATGGTTTTTTACTCGCACATTAGCGCTTGACCTTCTGTGCCACTGCGTCTCATCCCTCATCATGTATGTTATGCCGATAAAACACTGCAATTACTAGTGGTCAATGACTACTAGACTGGATTAGCCAACTAGATGCTTTCCTTATAAAGCCAAGTCGTTTATTCTGAATAAATATGTTTCGAAGTTGAAACCATTGAATTTTTGATGTCTTAACTTCATGAAGCTATCACTTATGCAGGAAGTGTAAAAGATAGTAGAACTAAAACAATAGACTAATTAATCAAGAATAAAAGCTTATGTCACACAAAATTAGACAACGTTGCCGGATCGATATCTCCACCTCAAGCAAACTGACCTATTTCCGAGTGTTTGGCGTTGAAATCGCTGATTTCAGTGTACATATATTTAGTTTTCTGCTTCATAGTGGTGTCATCAATTTTCACTTTTGTCTGTTTTTATTTCGCATCTTCGATCGTGATAACTGGGTTCTAATGTTAGGCTGGTGGGCTTCATAAATTTATGTCTTGGTCTCGGGCTATCCTTACAGACTCTGGAGGTTTTCAAATGGTTTCACTAAACAAATTGTCCGATGTTACTGAAGAAGGAGTTCGATTTACTTCTCCACATAATCATACAGAAATGCTCTTAACTCCCGAAGAATCTGTTGGAAATTTCCAAAATGCACTGCGTTCAGATATTGTTATGCAGTTGGATCACGTTGTACATGTGTTGAAAGATAAAGAATCAATGAAAAAAGCAATGGAGAGATCTATCCGTTGGTTAGATAGGCAAGTATTTGTTTCATTGCGTAGCTTTTTTAAAAACTATTCCCCTAACTTTTTCATCGTGTACATGTATCTACTTTAACATTATCCAGTGAATATATGGGTAAATTCTATTTGTTTTCTCACAAACGATGAGATTTTAAATTTACTTAGTCTTTTCAGTATTTTTCCTATGATCCTTTTTACTGGTCGAAGTAGCTTAGAACAATAAGAGAAATAGTTAGATAATCCTGTATTTTCCTACATTCATTATCTATTCATATGCTTATTTTTGTTGGATATACATTAAATTCATAATGATCTTTAATTTAATTCGGATAATAATGTTTTTCTTTGGTTTATTCCAGAAGTATTGACGCTCATACAAATCAAGCAACTAGTCAGAATTTATTCGCCATAACTCAAGGTGGTTTGGACCCTTCAATGAGAATTGATTGCATTAATGAAATGTTGAAACGTAAAGATAAGGTCAGCAATATTTCATTTAATAACTTATCACATTAGCATATTTCAACACGTATCGTATCTTGGTTTTTGTTGACAATTTTTTTATTTTTATAGGTGGCTGGATTCGCTATAGGAGGCCTTAGTGGTGGTGAATCAAAAAATGATTTTTGGCGTATTATTAAACTGTCAACAGAGCATCTACCTTTTGATCGTCCTCGTTATGTGATGGGAGTTGGATTTCCTATTGATCTTGTTGTATGTATAGCATTAGGCTGTGATATGTTTGACTGTGTTTATCCTACAAGAACTGGTCGATTTGGTAATGCTCTTGTTCCATGGGGTCAGGTAATATAGGTGATTGTTTTTCTTTTTGGATTGCTTTTAATTTTTATGCTTTGTTGTGAAATAACCGTTTATTCCCTATCTGACAGAAAGTATTTACAAGTTCTTGTTTGAAATTTCGAATCATCCCCATACCTTTCAAATAAAACTATTCTATATTATTGCCATATACGGCATATTGTACATGGTCAACTGTAAATGGTTGTTAGAAGCGATTCATACCATAACGCACCATATTCCTCCTATAATTGTCTACAAGATAGTGAGATTCGAAATCAGTAGAATGTGATAAAACCATAGGGCAATATTGGGTAGAGTTTTTTTTCCATTTGCAAATAATATTATTCCTCTAATTTCCCAAAATGCGAAGAGCACAACTTTGTTTTTCTATTTTTAGTTAAATCTTCGTCAAGCTAAATATGCCACTGATTTTCGTCCTATTGATGAAAAATGTTCTTGTCCTGCATGTTCTCGTCCTTTATCTCGAGCTTGGTTACACTCAGCACTATCTGGTAGACAAGTTAGTGCTTCTGCAATTGTTAGCCTGCATAATTTGGCTTATATGCTGGGTCTTATGAAACAAATAAGAGAAGCGATAAGCACCAATACTTTCCCTCAGTTTGTTCATTCCTTCTTCGAACGTCGCTGTTATATGGGTAAACCAGACGAATGCCGTAGTGAATATGAAGGTTGTTGTCCTCCAGCGTGGGCATGTGATGCTCTGAAGAGTGTTGGTATAGATATATCTGATATCGGACAAAACTCAAATGGCATAAACTCTTATGAAAATGGTTGTGATGAGGTAGAGAGTAAACGATCACGGAATAGTTCTATTAATTGTGAATAGATTGGAGATGCTGACTGAAAAAAATAAATATCTTTGATACAAATTTCGTGTTTTTACTTTATCACTTGTTAATCTGTTTGTTAATCATTCAATTAATGTTTGTTAAAATCTTTCAATAATACTTATCAGTCAGTCATTATAAAATCAGGACCTATAACATCCATCACATTAAGATTTATCTACGAAGGTAAATAACGAAGATAGACGTATGATCAATGGCAATAAAAATAACCCATCATACTTCAGGAATAAAAAAATGAAAAAGTCGAAAGGATGACATGGTATTGAGACTCAAAATTTATGCAAATCTGAAAGTAAATTCCATATTCTGTACTGCAGCTGAATTTTTGCAGTTCTAAAGCAGGGTTGTTATACAATATTTCACTTACTCATATCCTTCAGGCTAATAGTTTATGATCTTATCCACTAATATCTCTACCTTTTACCATATTATTCTCATATCCTACACCATTGTGTGTCGAGTTGGGCTACTTTCGGCATACAAAACATAGTCAGTCAGCACCAACGTAGAACTTGGCACATATATACATCATTTCAAGTTGCCATACCACATTAGCACTGAGACACGATTGTCGGTTCAAATCCCATAGTGGTAGAGGTAGTAGAATTATTAGGAATGATAGAAAAGATAACGGTTCAACGATATTACTCAAGAAGTAGAACCTAGTGAAAGAGACTTAAAAAGAATAAGATAAAGGTGATGAGCAACTCTGAAGGTGAGGATTTGAGGGAACTCAAAGAATGGGTGCACCTGCGTTATTGCAATCGATTTTGAGCCATGTGATTCATAGTCTCTCACCATCGATTACTAACATCTCGCGGACCCCAATCAGATAGTATACACCTAGGAACATGACTCAATCCGCTTGTCAGTGACTTTATGGATTTCTGCCATGTTTTGTTCTACCCGCCCCTAGTTTTCTTCCAACCTACTCCTACGTCACAAAACATAGCTCGACGAGGCAGTTGGTGGTTGGGCATTCGCAACACATGTCCTACCCACCTCAACTGATGAAGTTTCAATACTTCACCTATTAATCTGCCGTCCTTATTCAGTACTCGTTTCCGAACAACAGTATTGTTAACTCAATAGTCCCGAAATAAACGAGCAATGCTTCGGAGACACCTATGATCGGAAACCAGTAACCTGCGAATATCCTCTACTCTTACTGGCCGTGTTTTACACCTGTCAGGTAGAACAGAACGAACTGCTGTGCTGTAGAGTCGTCGTCTGGTTAACAGAAACACAACTCGCCGACGCCATAAGTGACGCACGTTGGTAAAAGTCAGTTTAGCCTTCTCTATCCGTGCTGAGATTTCGTCAGTCGCCAGACCATCAGCACTGACTCCTAAGATAAGTGAAGCGGGCTACACGTTCGACTACTTCACTCCCTATCACTAGTTCAGGTACCGATGCATCCCAATCTCTCTTTACTTATCTTCCTATCAGTAGTTCAGGTGCCGATACAAGCCAATCCTGAAGCAACATTTTGTATTTCGACGGGGAGAGTCGCATCCCGAGCATGCTTGCATTGTTGCTTAGGGTGATCAGAAGACTGCATTTTGTCAATGTCTTCACCAAATAGAACTATGTCATCGGCGTATTCTAAGTGAACAAGCACGCTTCCTGGAGGGAAGTCAACTTCTGAAAATTGAAACAATTACTGTCATCTGTCAAAGCATGTCAGTGAATAAACAGATATTCACACAACATCAGGTCCTAGAAGTTAGACACACGTTGGTATTTTTCGAACTTAAGTTGACATTTGACGCTGTTGATCCTTAGGTTCTATGGCAGCGCCTGTCACTGAAAGGAATACAAGAGAATTTCTTTCACCTCATACATTTTCTCTACTTCATTACTACCGGTCGCGTGACAGTTTATGGCTAACTGTTATCGGAACGGATTAGTACAAGTAGTGTTAGTCAGGGTTCTCCACTTTCCAAATTATTATTCAGCTTTGACATAGACATACTTTTAAAGATGACACTTTCATCGTCTCCTTTTCTAACAGCTGGCCTACTACCAGGAGACTCGCTTTTTGACTTAGAATATGCCGTTGGTGTGGTCCTATTTGGTGAAGACGCTGATAAAATACAGTCTTCAGAGCATCCTAAGCAACATGCAAGCATGTTCAGAATTTGATTCTTCCCGACGAAATGCAAAATTTTGAGTGTTAACCGCGTCATTTTTCTCAGGAGTCTCATCAGGTATCTTCTGAAATCTCAGAACGGATTCAGAAGTCTGAATCCAACTTGCATCATATATGGTATAGGCGAAATATTCTTTTGCTAACCGAAGGACGAGTGTGCAGTTCGCTCAGTCCCACCTACTAAACGGATGTGAAACATGGCTACGAGAAATAGAGGAAGTTCGCAGGTTACTAGTATGCCATCATAATTGTCTCCACAGCATCGCTCGTACATTCACATACTTCCTTCAAAACTTGATGAATAATGAATATTTTATAAATGTATCTATGTGTAGAATTAGCCTTATTTTCTCTGCTTTCCTATTCCTGGCTCCGTTGTATCAGTCGGATGAGTATCGAAATTATTATCCTAAAGAAAATATTATTTAAACTAATTCCTCTATAGAGGGTTTCTTATCATTTCTTGTACACTTAAATCATCAGCGACCACAACCTGTTGAATGAGAATATGTTTCGATCACAAGCTTTACCTAGTGTAAAAGGCAGTTTAAGCAGGACTCTCATTCTTGAATAGCTGTGGGCCTATCTTTTTGGGAGTGGCTTCTCTTGATCGCATCAGATCTGATCAATTCTTTTCGATAACTGGCAGCTATATGATCCATGTTCATTGTTGTTCTGATGTCTGCGGTCACGAGGTCAAGTGATATCTGTTTTCATGCTTGCATTTGGTGCTTGTTAAGAATAAACAACAGTTAAAAGTTGCTGTCAGAGATAAAGTTTTAGTGATGCTGTTGGAAAGTTATGGTTAGATAATGAGTTTACCGGTGATGTCCTTTTTACTCCTTTAGAATTTAGTGTCAGCATGAGATTTACATTTGCTACTGCTTGTGACCACCTTGAGCAACAATGATAGCGTGTTTGGAGTCCGTCTTCCTCCCTTCAACTGCAAAAAGTTATTTCATCATTAGTCTGCATCAGCGTTTGAACTAGTGCTAGAGAAAGCTTAGTTGAATAGGTTGACCACTTCATTTATTTTCGAAGTTTCGTCACCGCTAGTGGGTAAGTGTCTGACGAAATTTTAGTATGAATCCATAAAGCTCAGTTTACATTTCCTAACGTGCGTCACTTGCGGTCTTCATTAATAGAGGTCGTTAGGACATGTTTTATGTATGTTTAACCACCGCTTAATTCCATGAGCTACTCCTGTTAGTGCAGGACTAGGTTGAAAAATAGGGGTGGTCAAACTAAAACCGTATATCGGTTCATGAATTCTGATCCGTGTTGCTAGGTTCAAACTGTCTAGTTGGGGTCTACGTAGAAATTGCAATCAGTGGTTTGATAAAACGGGTGACATAGCTCTTGATGTTGAATTGCAGTGTTCATTCATACATACATTTCCATTCTATCTTTTCGAACCATATAATTTTTATCATTATTACCACGTTATTGAGATGTATTTTGCTTTGATTTAGTCTTGCCAATCAGGCAAGGGAACGCACAGCTCTCTCAGACTCTATGTTGATGCTATCTATCTGTCGCTTACTATGTAATTTATTTTTGGACCAGTTTTCTATAATGCTATAATGTGTTGAACGATTTGTTCCTTTGTTTTCAGAAATATTTTTCATTGTATGGAAGTGATATTCAAAAGTTCCTCGCACTTATTTGTGTGCTTACTCTCTTTTCGATTTTTTAATGCCTTATTAATACAAACATCGTATGTGCCAGATGAGTATTGGCAGTCTGTTGAAGTTGCACACAGTTGGGTGTTTGGGTAAGCCAATATACATCATGATTAAAATTAATTCCTGCTTACGGGTTCAGTTGTACATATTCTCTTACATTTGAAATCTGTTAGCTTCTATGAGCAATGCAGACATTTGGTAAAGATTTTATTCTGCGTACACCAATATATACCGGAAACATCCATGAAATTTAAAATTGTTTAATACGCTTAGTAAAGTTTTGTTTTTATTAGTATTCTTCAAACTGAATATATCTGATTTCGAGATGGTGGAGATTTCGTTTATGGAAATATATTCCGTTAAAAATAACTAATTGTAGCTAGATGTTCTAATAGCCATCTAATTAGGATATCTCGTGAAACATTAAAGCTAAGTTAAAACGCAACTACAAGAATTACAGAACTTAAACAAGAAAGGCTGTTATATCACACTTATTACTTCTCATCAACATTATATAACTCTGAAAATTAATCTGAAATTGGAGTTAGTTGCGAAACTCGTATCCAGTTTACTTTTTTCTGAAATGTAATTTTATTTGATCTAAACTGTTTTTGTCTACAGAAAGTCTTAGAGTTAAGCATTTCAATCTGCGATTTCACTAAGATGAAATTCAAATTTCACTGATTCTTGTATTGTTGGTTGTTTTCATTAGTATTTAAAGGAGGGTGTTGACAGCTTATTTTCGACTTGAACTTTGTTGTGTATTTCTCTAATCATCATCCATTAAACTAACGAGTTACTTAGTGAGAAACATATGTAAGACTGAAGATGGAACATTTAATGGATATTTGTCTCACCAGGACTTGTTTAATTTGGTTCTGAGGCTTTTTGTCTCAGCAAAGATGATGTTTTATACAGATTTACATTGTAATTGTCCATAAAGTTGTTTATATTGGCTATTTATTTTCTTCGTATACAGATATGGAACACTCACATGGGAATGGGAACCGAAAATCGCACTTCGAAGTCCTGTTCATCCACTTTTGATTAGCTTCGTATATAAAGTAATTGCAATTCTTGGTGTTGATTCACAGTGGATGATAACGAAGTCACCTCAACTTCTGCACGGTTTCTTTGCAGCTATTGCTGATTTGCACTTGTACAAGCTTATCAATCAGCTATCTGGATTTGAAATAGCCAAAGTATATGTTTACTTATTTGGGCTGTTTTTGTGCCAATGTAACATTTGTTTAACTTCAATTTCATATGGAACCGAATGGTCTCCATGATAACTCATCGTTGGTTTTAAAAAAGTATGATTAGGACAAAATTTTGGAAGAACTGTGTCATTATCGATGTACTCACTATTAAAAATCATGACTAGCGTTAAATAATAATCGTAACTTTGGCAGAAAAGTGTGGAACAGATGAAAATATGCCTAACTAGAAGTGTAAGGAAGAAAATCACATGAGAAACGCCAATAGAATAATATTTTCAATAATCCAAGTGGATGGAAGTTTGTCTGTCTTGGTTTCCTAGACGTCTCGTAATCAGGAGTTCACTACTTCGAAATCAATGCAGTTATCCATCGATGACAGTTGATGGTGCTGGTGATCTAGACGTATCATGCTCCAACCTCTTGAAGGGGAAATCAGCAGTCCCAAACTAGGGTGAAGTTGTGGATTTCTGATAAATGTCAATTGACGATGAGGATAATATTCTAATCGCTCAATTTTTCCCATATCAATCTCCCACTCTACTAAAAGCTGTAATCCTGATCTTATTGTCCAAACACATGAACTGTCGAATATGAAAAGCTTTCGATTAAAGCAAACTCAAGGAGACTCCTCACACTTCGATAAAAAGTGAAGTTTTGTATGGTGAAGCCTTAGCATTTGTTGAATTGAAGATTGAGAATTATTTACTGTTGTCTAACGCCAGTTTATTTATACTGTTAACACTGATATAAATGAACACTAGTCAATTGTCGTCTTGATTGTAAACCACGCTCAACGTTGAGGATTATAGACGAATGTTAGATAGAAACGAGTCACATGGTTTACATATACGTAGAATAATTTAATTGATGTTCATGATTGACTTTTTAGTATACTGCAAAACACTTATTGTTCTAAGATAACATTTGGTATTATTAAGTCAAACCTTTGGAATCAGCAACCTCAGTTGAGAGTACGTCCATACGACCCATTTCCTTTGTACAAATACTTTTATTTGGAATTTCCTAATTTATTGACTTTCGTTTCTGTTTATTTTTGCTTCCTTTTGATACAACGAATACAGTGGACATTATTTCACCACATTTGTAATTGGTTCACTATATATTGTGCTCCGCGAAGTCTATCAAACTGCATTGAGTGGTGCTTATGCATAATTGGTTTATCCTATTATCCATGGAATGTGATATGTCAGACGGACCAACACTTCATTCAGTCAACAGTAAACAAATGTCGTGATCAGTCGAACTGGTTCATTTTCATTGCAGTAGTTTGTGTTCTAATACGTCCCACAGCTTTAATTATTTGGTTACCTTTATGTTTTTGGCATATATGGCGAAAGTGTAAGATAGCTAGCCTACTTAATACCGATAATAATCATGATTCCAAAGAATATCCAAAGCACTCCGGGTATGTATAGTTCCTTGTGTAATTTTAATTTAGCTTGATGATAAACTGTGGTACGTTATATTTTTTTATTACTGCTACTATTTTCGCAAAGATTACTGGACTCGAATTGTCAGTTTTTAGCATGTCAAAATAAAAGCTTTAGTTGTAATTTTTAGTTATTAACGGTGATACAATATCTTATATTCAATAATGAATATACCACTAATAAAACTAATCATAACTGAACGTTTGATTATTTATTCTAGACAGATCATTTAAGTTCAATACAATCGAGCTTCCATATATTTGAATTACACTAAGATAAAACCACCTGGGTTTTTTATCGCCATCCTATTTCGTTGAAAAATTTCTTACTCCTAAAACCATAATTTAAACAGAATGAAGTCAGGAAGTGTTGATTGGCTGTTCGGGTATATATTGCTCGCTGATATCAACTCGTGTATATCTACATGATCGTTGTACATTCGGATAGCAAATATGTGTTAAAGTTATTGATCAAACGATATTGAAAAGGATGCAGATACTCTGGAAAATGTATTAACTGACCGTTTATTTAACGCATAAAACATAAACGCTATCTGTTCCTATTTTATTCTTCTACTCTTAAATAATTTCATTCTACAGGACAAAACGGTTTCTAAGTCATGTTATCTACCAATTTGGTACTTACTTCAGCATTATTTTCCCTTGCGTTGCATTCTCGTGCGTTCTGGATCGTTGGGCATTCGGTGAGTGGATAATCAACCAGTGGAATTTCGTCAAATTCAATATTCTTTTTGGAGGATCAGAAGTTTATGGCGTTCAGCCTTGGCACTGGTACTTATCCCAAGGATTTGTAGTTATGTTGTTAACACAAACACCTCTAACAGTAATTTTTATAGTTATGTATTTCATTTATGGTCCACGTTTAGTAAGAGATCTTACCAGACAGAGAAAGAAGTCGGATTACTCAAACAACTCTAGTAATCAATCGCTTTGTGATCCATGTGGCTTGTGCATTGTTCTCTTACTATGGACTATAATATGTTATAGGTAAGTTTAAATCAATGCACAACATTTATCATTCTCTAAATCCCCAACTTTGTATTCTACATTCGTAGATATTAAATAGACATGTATCTAAATGAAGCCGTAACGTACGTGTGATAATCTTACTTCTGATGAACATAATTTTACTTGGCTGTTAATAACTTATTGCTTGTTTTTTGATCGGCGTCATCAATATAACATCTTTTGTAACTCAGGGTACATATAATCGGTAACAAATCGTAAAATATTGTAAAACCTTTTTCAATCAGACCATACTTTGAAAATCAGGAGCATCTTTAGTTGTTGAAATCCGGATGAAAGTACACTACGACAACTGCATGTACTGAAATAATGGTGTTACTATTCAGATATAATATGTTCTAACCTTGTAATTTAGAGGTAAATTGACTGCGACACATTACTAATTCTGAGTACTGCAGCAATAAGTGATAAATTTATGGGTAGGACCGAAACTTCCGACTCACCATATATTCAGCTCATAAAAGAACTAATTCTAGAAACAGAATTTAAGGATTCAGTATCTACCGTCGGTTTGACTGATACCGAAATGGAATTTGGCACTGTAGATACGCGAAGAAACCAACGACGTTGTTTCAGTCATGCAATTGCGAAAATGCATTCTTAATACAGGTAATTTTTCTGTCCATCCAGCTCTTTTTAAATTTAAACATAATTGAAACCATCACTGCTGTGTATTTAAAATTTTATGCTTCTAATTGACGGTAATTATTTCTCTTTGATGTTCAGTTTCTTACCGCACAAGGAATTCCGGTTTATCTTCCCATCAATTCCATTAGCTATGTACTTTTCTGGTATTACGTCAGTGTGCTTCGTCCGTTACGGGTTCAAACTAAACTTTCTGCGAAACCAGGACACTCGACGCCGATGCTTGGTGTCATTCATCATTTTAACACATATCCCATTGGCATTGTATACATGTTTATTGCATCAACGTGGTGGACTTGATTCAATTAAATTTTTGAACAAACAGATATTGAAAAATCAGCTTAGAGACGAGGACGCAGCCGTTCTAGGCTTGATGCCATGTCATACAATCCCATCAGTAGGGTAAGTCCATTTATTTTCTTATCTACCTATAAACTTCAAAAACTTGCATCATTGGCTTCCAAAATAGCTATTAGGATTTAAATAGCCTGAATAAATACACATGATATTGAACCAAACTACTTCATAAATGGAGATGCTGGAGCTTATACCGGAGAAGAGAAGAAATTGTAGTAACTTACTCAACGTTCTATATTTTTATTACTGAGCTTCTGTAAAGTAGTTGGATGCTACACTAACTAAACGTGATACAATTAAACAGGTGTTATAGCTTGCTATTAGGCGGAGGGACCCACCGACAGATAGTTAACAATCTTACTTATGCTTTGATGCAATGACTTCTTTATTTGCTCCTTCCTTTTCAGCTATCTACACAGAAACATTTCTTTTAAGCAACTAACATGTGATCCAGATTTGACAAAATTGATACGTAGTAATTATCAGTATATCGACGAGGCTGATCTGTTCTATGAAAACCCAAGATTGTGGTTGGAAAACTACAACATTTCGTTATTTGTTGGAGCGAATAGTCATCGTCCAAAACCAAGGTTTATATTTATGTTTGACCATCTGATTAGTACTTATAAATCTGTACAACTATTTTTAGTGTCATGGAACTATAAATTATGTGGCGAGTTGTTTTTCTCCCATATACTGACTCATTCTAGATATGGTCACAATATACTTTTTTACTGTCTAAACTAAACTATATTTGACTTTACTTTTTCACGTTTCAAAACTAATCGCAAAATAAAACGACTGAATTATATCAAATTTCACAGCGCATTTATTGGCGAAGCATTCTATTACGGGTTATTCTCATCAAAACTCAATAACATCGCGCTTAAACTTGAATGCGTATCACGATTGGATGCTATCGATCAGTTTCGACGCTATGAACAATTATATTTTACTATAAAGTAACCCTATGATAGTTTGAGATAAAACTTGACCTTAACTTTTATTAAAACCAGAACTAAAATCGCCAACGAGGAAGGAAGAAAATTAGCTTTTATGCAGTTATTGTGCAACTGTGTATTTGAGTATTGTATTTAGTTATATGCAAAGTTGGAGTTGGCACACACGTAAGTCAGTTCCATTTCCTGTACCTACATAGCAAGAGATGGGTTTAATAAACCGAATTTCGGTAGTATGAGTTTCAGTGGTAGTATGAACGACTAGGCATAAATGATATAATTTCGGAAGAGATCGTAAGGATAAAATAATTTTGAAACTCAAGATCTATGGGACGACGAAGAGTAAATGGACTGGTGTTACTGTGACCGATTCTAAAGCGTGCCAGCCAAGGTCTCTCAACTCGTATGACAAATTCTCACTACGTAATTAACCGATTAGCTATCTAGTACCCTGCGTATGATCTTGACATTACCCAACTGGTGGCCCTCAACAAACGCTATCAATGCAGATATGAAGATATCTATGTTCAAATATTACCAATATTTTTGGATTTTCATAGACCGCTTTTCACAGCCTATTTAATATAAGTGAAATTTGGATATAATCTATACAGATAAATTATTGATTCGAAAGATCAGATATTGTTTACCCCGGTAGATAGAGCATACTGCATATAAAGTACTGCTAAGAAACTGATGTATCCGTTTCACTCGGAGGAAACAATAGTGTCCAATATACTACTAACGCATCAATGTTTCGGGCGCAGTAACTATTATCAGTTTCAGGTTGACATGGAAGTCAACGTTTAAGTTATAAACCAAAGTCTCATTAATTTGTAATTTATTCATCCAGTATGAATAGGGAGAAAGAGAATTAACTTCAACGCACGTCCTATGCCTTCTTTTTAATCTTGAAAACAACGTTAAGTATGTTTCGAATTTGATCGTACGAAGCTATTAGAATGAGATCTTCAGTGTGCAACGAATAGAACGTTAAAGTTTTCTATTACTTATCACCTTTGATACTCTTATCAGGGTTATTAAAATATCTTATAATCAAACATCAAATTGCAAAGTTCAAGCTATTTACAATAGATAATGTAATTATTGTGTCAACATTTAGCAGGTATTATTTGTTGCAGTGATTTGCGTACCGACTTCTTTTTATAACAAGATTTTTCTCCTGACAAATTTAAGAGCTCTTTGGGGTTTACTAAACATTTACCATTCAAATCTGTATCACAGCTGTTGTTTGTTGTTTTCGCCTTATTATATGCCTCTCCATCATCTATCATTTGTGCAGTGACGATTCCAAGTTGTGGTAGACCATCTGAGTCGACATCCATAGGCTCGAAATCCTTATTGACACCATCTGACAGCTGCTTCTCTGTACATTTAGAAAGTTTACGAGCTAACCAAGCCTTGCGTTTAACTTTTCGATACTTTTTTCTTCGTTCGCGCTGCGCCTGAAACAGAGAATCACATGTCCAGTTAGAACAGTCACAGTTTTATATGAATGACTAGCTGTTTATAATGAGTACTTAAAAAAAGAATAATCTTTTTCTTTTTGAATACCTTCTTTTGTCCTTCAGTTTGATCTGTATGTATGCCGTTTTTTTCAGCCCATATCCTTAAGTGATCTTGAACAGTTTTTCCAAGATACTGACCGTATGCTCCTGTTTTGAGTCGCTCGTCTTCTACTACAGAAACACAAGATTTTAGTGAAGTGAGCCCTTGCTGTTGGAAAATCGGGTTGTGTTGGCGAAAACAGTCTGCGCGACAAGCGAGGGTTGATTTAGCGGCAAGAAGACGGGCGGCACGACGACGGACTGTATCCCGCTGTACACAATTGGCACTCAAAGCCTTCAGCTTCGTTGGGGAAATACTATCAGCTGCCGGTTGATGATTGCCTGTAATCGATAGTGAATTCGGATCTGCTAACACTTTAGTTGCATTTGATAAAAGACCTGTAGATGTAGCCACAATAGCACCACCTTTCCTGTAAATTGAGAAATATAGTTTAATATGTTTGATTCAAACAGCACTTCAACGCTCAAAAGTGGTTACTCAATCAATCAATCAAGAGCAAGGTAGAACTTCGTACGTACGTACATCAGTTCAAGTTGCCATACCACATTAGCACAGAGATGTAATTGTCAATTCAAACTCCATAGTAGTAGATGTAGTAAAATTATTAGCAATAATCGGAGAGATTAGGGTTCGAAGATAGTATTCAACAAGTACAATCTAGTGCAATAAACTTAAGAAAAAAGTAAAGGTGATGAGGAACTCTAAAGGTTAGGATTTAAGAGAACACAAAGAATGAATGCACCTGCGCCATTGCGAACGATTTTGAGCCATGACGTTCAGGGTCTCTGACCATCGATTATGATCATCTCGCGGACCCCAACCAGGTAGTCGACACCTACCGACATGACTCAGTCCGCTTGTCAGTGACTTCATGGATTTCTGCCATGTTTTGGTCTACCCGCCCCTAGTTTTCTTCCAACCAATTCCTACACCGCGAAATATAGCTCGACGAGGCAGTCGGTGGTTGGGCATACGTACCACGTGTCTTACCCACCTCAACTGATGAATTTTCAATACTTCATCTATGATTTACCATCCTTACATTGTATCCATTTCCTAACTATAGCACGGCTTACTCAGCTCTCTCATGATGTACGAACAATGCATCGAAAACATCTATAATCGAATACTAATAACCTACGACTATCCTCAACTCTCACCGACCATGTTTTACAGCCATATAGTAGGACGGATCGAACTGCTGCACAGTACACTCGTACTTTAGTCAGCAAACGGATATCTCGCCTAGCAAAACCCAATCGAGCCTTCTGGATCCGTGCGAGATTTCGTCACACACCAGGCCATCAGCACCAATGAGACTCCCGAGATGAGCGAGATTGATTACTACTCGAAAAGTGAAGCTGTGTACCTGTTGATGAAGATTTGTAGATCAAATAACTCAATAATTATTTTCTACACTACACACGAGAATTTTTGGTTTCCTGGATTAGGAATTTACCACTAATCAGATTCTGGAAACGGCTCTGATATGGTGTGGTTTTTGGATATTGTTTATTTAGCGATGACGCTGGTTGTATTCATTGTTGTTCATTCAAACAATCAGTGGTTGTGATGTCATAAAGGTAGTGTTGAGGGATAATAAAGTTTAACAAGTGATTCTGCCTTAAAATAGGCTCCGATGTATTCACAGCAGTGTTTAACCTGCCCACGACTAGCTAACCCTGAAACTAGTTGAAGAGCTAAGTGGTCGTTTTAAGATGTATCACAGCGGGATTAGTTGACTTCATGAGGAGCTGAATAGGTCTGGGAACTGCATCTCATCAGAGAGGCGCACTAAAAGAGCTAGTAATGATTCTAGTGTAAGATGTACTTCTGGGAATGAGATTTACTTTGGTCTTATTTTCATTTGAGCAGGATCTTGCAATATGCTTACACTTATTGGCGTTATATGATTTTCCTCTTTATATTTCCATAAAATTTCCACTTAGTTTGTCAAGTTTTCTTGTCTCTTGTACAAAGCTTTCTTTGCGTCATAAATAATTAAATAAATAATAGAAACTTTTATTCAGTCAATTGGAATCTCAGTACAACTAACCTGAATAATTTTTTCGATGCTCCTAAAGACAGCAACCGTGTAGATGGCATAGAAGCAAGTCGATTGAAAGAGCCAGCATTAGCTATTAAACGTGCAGTAACTAAACAAGATGATAAATTATTCTCAGTTCTAGAAACCTTTTCTTGTTTTGCTTCATCACCTGAATGAAGTGTACAGTGAAGAAGAGCATGCAGATTAGGACACAAATTGGTTATTCGTCGTGACAAGGAATTTACATGTCGTTGTTTTATCTAAAACAAAAAAGACACCTAAATTTTATTTAAATTTTGAGGATGAAACATAATGGAGCCTACTATAAGCTAGTTATTCCCGATGTTTCTTGGATAATACACATTTTAAAAGACGTTCCTGTTATTTTTAGCGTAATAATGTTTTTTTTTGCAATAGCAGGAACTTGTAATCTGGCATCAGTGTTTGCAACTAATCCATCTTAAACGTCCTTACAATTATCATAACACTAAGTCTAGGCAACAAAGCTTCTTAATATTGAAGTCTGTTGCTTTTTAGTCCACTCCTCTAAAACATAAATAACATCTTAGAAGGGGCAAGTTTGCCATTTTGTAAAACGTTTCCAGTTATTCAGATCTAGTCACTGGGATCACGTGATCAGTATAAACGCCTTTAGAATCAACAGCAAACATGGGATCGGCCTATTGTGCCGTGGACGCTGACAGGGTAGTAACGATAAACACGGAAAAACTAGTTTGAGTCCGCACAAAGATCTATACTACGCCATAAAACGTTAACTAGTTTAAATGATAAGGATGCATTTATTCTTCAGCCTAATAGTGAGAACAAAATTACTGTGCACTTTCTAATCTTTGATTTTAATCGTCCTATTTGGAACTTAGTTCGTAAACATTGCTCCTAATGACCACTTTTCGTTTCCATGTTTTTCTTACTAAGGCACCCAAGAAATATTTGTTTTAGGGTTTTCGTTGTGACCGATTAATTGACTCACTAAACGAGGTACTAGGTTTTTAACTTTATAAACGTCAGCAGACTTCACTTTATAGTCTAGAATTTTCTGAACACTCGTGGTTCACTGTATGTAATATATACTATTCCTAATGACTAACTAATAGGTTGAAGTCATCAGGTATTTGAATTTTCGAAATCCCTGATAAAATTCTGTATTAACGTTTTATGATTTGAACCGTGATTACCAACTTTAAGCTTACAAATGAATGTAGGCACGAACAAAAACACTTTATTGCAAAACGTGTTTGTTCCCCATTTTAGAAGTTGTACCGTTCCATTTAAATAAATGAATAACTTCGTAAAAATGCATACCTCAATCATTTGCAGTAAACGTTGTGCATAGTTTTGAAGGTTCTCACAGTCTTCCTCACTTAGCTCAGCCCCAACAGAGTCTTGAGCCGCAGTTGCAATGAGGGAAGCAAGTTCTTCATTACCTAAATAGGTGAAGCTTCCAGCAGAGAAGTTTGAAATTATAGTAGAACGATGTGGGAAGTTGGCTATCAAGTGGAGCAGATTTACATCATCCAGACAAATTTGCTTCTTATAGTGTGGTCGACACACTTCTGGGAAGTGTATACTGTAGCAAGCTCTTAACCGCGAAGCTGACCGTGTTAAGTAAGTATCCAATTCGTCGATCAGTGTTAATACCTTAACGATCCCAGTGTCGGCCAGATGGTGTTCGATTCCCAGTTGTTGACGAGCACGTGCTAGGCTAACAACAATTCGTGCACGTGATTCAGCGATTATTCCAGGTTTTAGTTCATCTGCGCTAGTTGATGGTTTCGATTTTTCATCAATTGTTGGTAAGGAGAGTGCAGCACCAGGTTGTGTAATTAGAGAACGTGTTAATCGGGTAAAACTTTTTCTTATTACCCGGAGAACCTCGTGAACAGACCCGTGCCAAATGCATTCGAAGCCAAAATTACAAGCCCTTTGAATGTGAAAAGTAGTGATCTTAATAAAAGTGAAATGTTTCAGTTATAGTTAAGCTGTTTGAGTGTACTTATCAATTACTCACAGGTTAAAATTAAGAGTGCCATAGAATGAATTAGGTTACTACATTCCAAAATCTTAATCATTTGATAAGTAACTTTTATTTCTACATACAAATGTTTAATAATTTTACCTATAACCTTCTGCCAGTTCACAAACGTACATGATATCTTCTCTAATAGGTAGGTTCGTGGATGATGATGAGTTAAACATTTCTGCGATATTTGTTGTGAATAGAGAAAAGCGAAAAACTGCCATATTAGAAAGTCATCCCCCGTAATAAATCTATAACTACTGGAATTCCAATTACATGCATATTTTCTTGTCATGAGGGTACTATGGATTGCATGAATTTATTGATGCAACAACAAAATAAAACCCAAGAACGGAAAGATATTTAAGTTTACGATCTCATGTGATTTACTTTGCGGACGTTTATCTAGAAGTTTAAATTTTCGAACTGAAAATATTCTGTTTCGACGAGCTAAACCAATGTTGTACAAAGAATGAGCAGATGGGACAAACAAGATTATAAGTTACTACACTTAGTTTAACGGGCAACATTCAAAAGCGCAATATTTTGCAGTACAGTTAGACAGGGAGCATTGCGACGAAACGAGTGAAGATAAGGATTAAATGGTAATTATATTTGATTCATTACTACTGAGGTACGAAAAGTAAGTATAAAGTGATATATAAGTGGAAACTTGGGAAGTTTGCAACTTGTGGGGTGTTTTTACGCCTTTTCCGTTCTTGAGAAGGATGTATTATTGGATAAATCGCATCTTTGTAGATTATATCCTAGTTCAATTAAGACTAGAGTAGAAGTTACCGGAAGTCTCTATAGGAATCAGTGTGAGGTAACTGGAATCTCACATTTTTTTAAACTGCTCGTTTATTGCTAGGTCTTTCCATCATTCGGTTATGTGCAACAGAGAACCCAGTGCATCTGCAAATCAATTCAAACGCCACGTCATACATGAACGGTAAGACGCCAGAGTAGAAGAAATTGTAACAGTATCTGCAGCGGTACGTAAGATTAGACATAGACGATATGGTTTGAGATATTGATAAAACAGGAAATTAAATAATTTTGTAACTCCAGATCTATGACATGACAGAGAGTGGATGCATTAGTATCACAGTGACCGATTCTAAGCCTCTTCACCGAACGTCTCCAGTGATGGTTACTTTAATCTTGTGAACACCAACCAAGCAATTTTAGTTCAATTACATATGATTTCATGGATTGGTGCCACATATTAACTTGGTAGCTCCTACCTTTCTTCCAACCTACTCCTATATTAGTCAGTATTGTGCGTCTGGGTTTAGAATCGTTTGCGATGGGAGAAAAGCATCCAGTCTTTGTCTTTTTCCATGACCTCAGGACTTTTTTTTCGCTTGTTAGATTTATTTCACTGGATTATACTTCTTGAATTATATCTTTGATCCCTAGTCTTTTTCATTACCGCTAATACTCCTACCATTTCTACTACTAAGGGATTTGAATTGACAATTAAATCTCTAAGTTAATGTGGCATGGCAGCTAGAACTGATGTGTATACGTACGAAGTCCTACGTTGTAGCTGACTGACTGATGATATATAGGATCATACAGTAAATAAAATTCATCTTCATATCAAGAGCTGATTATAACCGAAAAAACAACTAATAGTGCCCTAGTTGTTGGGAGTCCTCACATTGATTACTTAGTTAAGTCTCTGAGTATTAATGATGGTTACAAGTTCAGTGCTTGGAGTAGTTCAGACCTCACAGATATAGAACTTAGATTTTAATACGATGGATATTTAGGAACAAGGACAGGGAGAAAATTCGGCGGTGCTGCAGTTTGAGAACGAATCAAATAGACTCAATAAGATAAGTCTTGGATTTTGATGCGAAATCCATCCCTACAGCCTAAGTATCTGGGGATTTTAACTGATGGTATTTCGCGATGAAAACCCTGACTTCTGACTTAACAAACAGTGCTAACGAATTAAAATAAGTTGGGGGATTCAAGTCACTTTGGTGATGCTTAGTCCATCCGTAAATTAGTCTAAACGAAAGTCGGACTGGTCCTCAATGATTCTTTGATAGCAGAACAGAATGTATAGGTTGTTCTTATACAGAAGACTTATCACCAAAACAAAACTCTCAGGATTGATCCAAAACATTAGTCTTAACACATGAATTTAGAATCAAGCTATTTGCATTCTTAATGCATCCCTTGGGGTCATCTTTCAGGTTGATAATTGTATGAGCCAGCTCAGGTTTTACACTATGTTAGCGTATAAACAAGTTACCAAGTACGTGGAATCAAATGAGAATATCATCATTAATGTCCGAATTTAAATGGAGTAGAAATTCATTACTTACAAGGTCGTGCAAAAAACTAATCATAAACATAGATCAATAATAATAATAATAAGCAATTATTAACAGAATTAGAATAACAGATATTTTGAAAATAAACTCACAATATACATTTGCCCAATTTTTCGTCACTGACTCCCAATACACAATCAACTGGCGGTACATTTCTTTTTAGAAACTGCTTGAGCAACTCAGAGAGATTTCCGCCAGAGATGGCTTGAACATTTTCTACAGCCTCTTGAACAGACTTAAAATGGATAAACGCGATTGGTTTGATGAAAGCGTTCGGAAGAGCTCTAAAGTTCCCTGTTATTTCGTCAAATTCTTTGACACGAAATAACCCAAACCCTGTTATGTGCTCGAAGAGGAAGAGATGTTGAACTGTCTAGGAAGAAAACTAAAAACAAGGGAATTACACAACTCACTGCCATGTGCAACGACCGCAATACTGGCGCCCTAGTTGTAGGTCAAAAATTCACTAACCAATATCAAAATTGCTACACACGAGCAATGAGAATGAGTATTTTGTGCTCTCTGATTGTTGTCTCAGTAAGGTCCAACGCAGTTATTATTTAAATGGGTGTTTTTCTGACCACTCAACTGCACTTATTCCAGTTGATGCACTCTAAATACTTTTCTACGAAACCAATTTTCTCAAGCTGGTTTCGGAGTCACGATTGTATTGAATCGATGGAGCCCATCTTCAAAGTAATCATCATAGCCATTACGAGTACATGGGGTACTTCCTTGCGCTATGAGCAGATTTGATGCGCAAGACCTACATTTCCTAAGCCCGTGTTCGGATTCTTAGAGGATGTACTCCCTTATTTTTTCATTCATCAGTCCTTCCATCACCGACATTGGTGGTAGCAGTTCGGCTGGTTTGAAGCAGGCTGGACATTTCTTATCTCCTCCTTTGAAGGTTGGAGAGGGTGGCTTGTTTCCATTCTGATTGAGGTTGTTTTGATGGGTCAATTGCCAGTACTGAGTACTGAGTACTTGCGAACACACTTTCAGGATTATGGGGCAGATGACTTCACATCCTGATGGCTTTTTTTGGTGCAATGATTTTCTTTTTTCATTGCTAACCCGAATCTCCGAAGAATAGTCAACAGGCCATCAGCTGACCCTAGAGCTGGGTAGTGCTCTGAGCTTGTGTGCACCTGACTTAACTGGCCGTTGGTACTGACGGTAAAGATATCAGCCATATATAAATTGGTAGGATATTCACCATCTGAAACTCGGGAACGTAAATACTCTGGTTAGTAGGTTGTCTTTTGGTAAGGAATCTAGAGATATATTTTAGGTTTGCCACGCCACATTTTAGCCCTTGAGCAAGCAAAACGCTTTGGCCAGAATTCTGCTCATTCCAAACATTGTGCAGTGTCTGTCCCAAATTTTTCGATCGTAGACGGTCCTACTTTCCAGTCATCTACTGTCAGACACTGAAGTTTCAAAAGAAGTTAAACGTCTTCGTTCTTGATTTTCGCCCAATTTAATGCCAAATCCCTTCCTAACGCTCATCCACTGCTCCTTACTGTAAACAGATAATAGGATATTTACAACAACCCGTGATTTCGTCCATGTGGGAGCTGTGGTTGTGGTGTTCATGATCGCCTGTTTGGTTGACTTTTAGTTGAGGATATTAGGCATACTGGTAGGGATCGATGGATTTGTTTTCGATAGGGATTTTTGATTCTGCTTTGCTTTTACTGTTGTCTAATTGATTTCACACTGTGGGTGAGCATACCAGAACTACGGATAGGGGTGACTTAACATGAATCCATAGTATTGTCCAGGTACCGCAGTAGCACAGTGGCAGTGAAACCAGCCATTTCAGTAATTTCATCCAGATACAGAGTCTCTGGTTTTAACTGGAAACAACTAATTGATGCAGTTGTCATCATTGTGCCTGTTGGATTTAGTTGTAATGGTTGTACTACTCATGAGTAGTTGAGTGTTTACTATATAATTTGTAACTTGCATTTTATTGGTCAGTATGATCGAACAATCTAGAAGTTGTTTTCTATTGGTCGAAACATTGACTGTTTGGTCAGCCATTTTGTTTGGCATTCTATTCGCTTGGTGTGTGAGACACAGATCGTTGTGATAATTTGTTGTTGTTGTTGTTGCTTAATCACCTTGAATGTAAGTAACTAGTAAATTAATAATTGTTTGTTGCAGAACCACATACGATATTTATTTAACTGTTCCAAATAAATATTCCGAATACTCAAAGAGCTTTTACTTCATTGACTTCGGGTGCGTTATTCTGGTGAATCTAACGTTATGCAACGAAAATCCTACAGTTATTCAAGTTTTTTGCGTCAACAACGACAACATCTAGAAGATAGTATGCCAGATTTATCTGTTCAGTTAGAAAAGCCTGAAAGTCCTGTCTTAAGCTGCCAAAAGAGCCTACATGAGAAGGAAATGGAAATAGAATTGGCAAAGCTAAAATTACAAGAAGTGGAAAAAAGGCTCTTGTTGGAAATGCTGTTACGAGAAGGATGTCCCCAAAATTCTAGCGAAAGAGGAGACATGAAACGCGACACCTGTCCTACAACGAATTATGTAGAAAGATACTTCGAACTGCCAAAGCCAGAAATAAGGAGATTTGACGGAAACCCAAAGGAGTATTGGATATTCACGAAAGAGTTTCAGAAAGTTGTAGAACAAGCGACAACCGACGACGCCATACGTTTGAATTACTTAATCCAATTTTGCACAGGTAAGGCGAGAGACTCTATAGAGCATTGTACTATAATGAATGGCACAGATGGCTTTATAATGGCTAAAGATATCTTAAAAAGGAAATTTGGTCAGAATTACATGGTGGCTAGGGCCTTTATAGATGAAATAATTGACGGGCCACCAGTTAAGAACGACGACTCGGCGGCATTGGCTGACCTTAGTCAAAAAATGCAAACATGCGTCGTGACGTTAAAACAGTTAGGTTACCAGTCCGATTTAAATGCAAGCAGAACGCTAGAAGCTATTGTGGCGAGGTTGCCTTCGAATCTCCGGTTTAAATGGGCGGAAACAGCGGTAGATTATATGAAACAAGACACAGAGCCTACCTTTGAGGACTTAGCTAGGTTTATCGAGGAACGTGTCAACATAATGTGTACGAGATATGGAGAACTCGCAGCGAATTTAAAGTCAGATAAACGAGTCCGGAACGTTGTTTCTTCTCAACCACCGAGTACAAAAAGGAACGTGTTTACATTGCAGCACTCGCCTTCAAGTCAACGTCAAGAAAGGTATTTAGTGTGTATCTTATGTAAAGACAACCACTTTCTAGACCAGTGTCCAACGTTGCTATCCCTTGAAGTAGATAAAAGGTTAGATCTAATCAAGGAGAAAAGGTTATGCCGATTATGTTTAAAGACTAATCATATAGCTAAGGATTGTAGATTGCGCAGAGGATGTACCGTGGAGGGTTGTGGTGGTAGGCACCATACATTGTTGCATGTTACGACGGACGTCTCACTATCTAATGCGAATGTTGCTACTAATTACGTTTCAAATTCCCGAGCGGAAAATGAAGAACCTAAGGTGGCATTTGCAGTGGTCCCAGTAATTCTCCGCAATCGTGACCGTACGGTAGAAACTTTAGCATTCTTGGATAGCGGCTCTGACTCGACATTGGTACTTAAGGATATTGTCGACGATTTAAAATTACCTATGGAATATGCCCGTGTTCGGATAGAGACTATGAATGGTTACAGAGAGATGCGGACAAATGCGGTACAACTAGAAGTTAGCTCATACGAATCTGATGAGTCAATTCGGATAGAAAGAGCATATGTTGTTCCCAGTTTGCCTAAGATTAAGCGAGTGGTACCAGAGGAGAAGCAGCTTCGATTGTGGCAACATCTGCAGGGAATAGACCTGAGGAGATGTGAAAGTAAGCGAATAGGACTACTGGTTGGCTGCAATGTTCCTGAAGCACATAGAAATTTAGAACAAAGGTTAGGAAGACCGGAGGAACCGTACGCGATAAAGACCATATTTGGTTGGACACTGATAGGACCCCTTGGTACTCATGTCACAAGTCACATAAAGCCAAATCATCTCAGTCTCTCAGAAATTGAAAGTACTCTTGAAAGATTCTACCAGCAAGACCTGTTAGAGGAAAGTCAGTCTAAAGATAAAGACTTATCGATTGAAGATAGAACCGCACTCAGAATCATGGAGAAGTCTATCACGTTAAAGGATTGTCATTATTGTATATCACTCCCGTGGAAAGATTCACAGTTAGAATGGACGGATAATAAGTCGTATTGTTTGCATCGTCTGAACGCTTTACGCAAACGACTGTGTACCTCTAAAGATTTAGCTAGACGCTATGCGGATGCAATGAAAGATTACCTTATAAAGGGATATGCAGAAATTGCGCCACCGTTAAATGATAACTCTAACGTATGGTACTTACCGCATCACCCTGTCGTCCATCCAGCGAAACCAGAGAAAATTAGAATAGTATTCGATTGCGCTGCTAAACATGAAGGACGATCATTAAACGACAGGTTACTCTCTGGTCCGGATCTTACTAATTCGTTATTGGGTGTAATTCTTAGGTTTAGACAAGAAAGGGTAGCAGTAATGGCTGACATCGAAGCAATGTTCCACCAGGTTAAAGTACCCGAATGCGATAGAGACGCTCTGCGTTTTTTATGGTGGACGAACGGAGATTTTACTGACAGCCCTGAAGAACTTCGCATGACAGTCCACCTATTTGGAGCAACCTCTTCTCCTAGTTGCGCTACGTTTGCTCTTAATCGTACCATCAAAGATAACAAGGAAAACTATGACAAGGAAGTTTACGACATGGCTACACGTAGTTTCTACGTAGACGATTGTTTAATTAGTACTCCCAATACTGAAACAAGTTATCGAGTAGCAACTCAGTTGAAAGATATGTTATCAAAAGGTGGATTCAACTTGACTAAGTGGATTACTAATGATTCAACATTAGCTCAGCTGCTACCCGAGTTTAATTGTATCGGGCCATGTGTACACATCGGGCACGGCGATCATACCACTTGTCGAGCTTTGGGCATAAGTTGGAATATAAGCGATGATACCTTTCGTTTTTATGTCGGGATGGTAAATGAACCTGTTACACGTCGTAATGTATTGTCATTTGTCGCCTCCATATTCGATCCCATGGGTTACCTAGCACCTGTTATTCTCCCAGCGAAACTTATCCTTCAGAAACTATGCAAAATGAAATTTTCTTGGGATGATTTAATAGTAGGAGAAGAACTAAAGGTTTGGAGAAAATGGCAAGGAAGTCTTACTCATATAGAAAAGATAGTTTTGCCTCGGTCATTAAATGCAGCCGAATGTACTGGAATCGAACTACATATGTTCAGCGATGCCTCTAATAATGGATACGGAGCAGCAGGGTATTTGCTACTACTGAAACAGCAAAGTGTTAAAGAATG